TTTAACACCGATGAGTCATTGTTTACACAGCTGGTGTTGGATTTCCCGGGACATTCTCATAGACGTCTCGGGAGGACAAGGGTTTATTGTCCTCCCGAGACGTCTATGAGAATGTCCCGGGAAATCCGACTCCAGCTGTTCTCAAGGTCATCCAGCTGTGTAAACCAATGACTCATCAGTGTCAAATTTCACAGAAAAGCGAGACAAAGGAAAATAAAATTTGAAGCTTTTTCTTCAAAATTAATGCATTTCTTTCGTTTTTTTCAGTTTTAAGTATTTTTTATGTTTAATTACATTAATATCAAAAATTGCTCGGGCGTAAGGAATTAAACATATTTGTCTGTTTGTACAGTACAGACAAATATGTTTATTGACGAAACTTAATATTTATGGTTTAATATTTCATCCTTCATAACATAATTATCTAAATACCGTATATAAAATATTTTTATCATATTTTTAGTCTTTTTCAGCAAAGTTTATCATCACTTTTTATCAACCCAAATTTATTTTATTTTTAATGCTTTGTTGTATACTATGGCCGAAAAGTTAACAATTTAGTCTTTGCAATCATTAACTATCTCATTCAAATACTGTATTGAACATTTTTAAATTCCACTATTTTTGTAAATGAACAATGCGTCACAATAATGTAATTTACGTTCACAAGTGTGCCTGGAATACACGAAAATCATAGTGAACTGATTTAGGGCCAACTTAAACTTATAAAATTAGTATTTTTAGTAAAACTTTTTAACTTGATTCTGTTAATAATTCTTATGTGGTAAACATAAGAATTATTAACAGAATCAAGTTTAAAAGTTTTACTAATTAAACATAAGAATTATTAACAGAATTAAGTTAAAAAGTTTTACTAAAAATACTAATTTTATAAGTTTAAGTTGGCCCTAAATCAGTTCACTATGCATTATGACAGAAATACTCGATCCGAAGTTAAAATTTTATGCTAAATCTTACAAATGGAACATATTGTCATATATAAATTTGTAATAGTCACTTACCCATAACGTCTGTTCAAATTTATATTTAAGTTTATAAACTCAAAAGCGGCCTTACAGCAAACATAAAAGCCTTACTTCCAAATTATTCTGGCAATAAAAATTCGAAATTTGCTCCTAAAGTCCAAATTGACTCATTAGATAACGTTTATATGTCAATATCAAAGTCAAATATGTCAAATAGTTATTTGAAACTCGCAGGAAAACAGGAAAAATACCAAAATTAACAAACATATTATTATTATTATTATATATCGATATAACAATATCGAAAATTTTGATGTTCGTTATACCGGATATATAATAATAATATTAATAATTCTGATATTTGTTCTTTATTGATCCTCCTCATCTTTACTTCCATCTTAAATATGCAATCGTTTTTGTAAAATAGAACGAACAATTAGTTAGAGTTACTTATATAGATTTTGTGGTTTAGCTTATCTTATCTTTACTTACATTTGCATGATGAAGATATATGAGAATTTTTAAGTAATATCACTTTCAGATTATAGGCTTTATTTGGCATTTCAAGAATTATTTGTATTGGATAAAATTTAAAACTTTTTCTTAATGCTAACACTTAATTACTCGATCGGAAGTTTAAATGAAGTTCATTTGTATCTTATCTTTGAACAAAGCATAAATCTTATGTGGTAATTGTTTACATCTTAAAACGCTTTGTTTAACAAATCAACTAGTGATGAAAAAGTATATTTATTTTCTTGATAGGTAACCAAAATGAAAAAATAGTGATGTTTGTGATGTGAAATATAGTAAAATGGATTCTTAATTTTTTTCTAAGTACAAAACCATTAACCATATTTCTCTCATCTAAGTATTTTGTTCATATAACTCCATTTTCTGGGCCTATAAGAACACTGAAATCGAGACAAAGTTGTCATTCTCTCGTGACAAACGCCAAACGGAGACGTCACAAATATCAAACTGCTTCGCGACAAGGGTCTTCTCCATATTGTGGCTGTTGTTCGTGCCAAAATTGTGAAATTTGGATGGGAGGTGATTCAGGATACAACCTATAGTCCAGACCTGGCCACTTTTTTTTAATCCTATGGGAAAATTTCTGGGCCAGCAACACTTCGCATAGGACTACAAAGCGAAATTAGTCGTGCGAATTTGGCTATACCTTAAAAAATGGAGTTTGGCAAATCAGGTATACTAAAACTGGTGCAAGATGGGTAAAATGTCTTGAGGAACACCGTTCATACATTGAAACAATTTAAACACGTAATTTCTTTCTGTATATTTCACATTTTGCCTTGCTGTTAAATTATTCGCAAAACAGTCCCTGTGTCTTAGTTTTTTTATCTCTCATACTTTGTAATTCATCTCATATTGCTTGCAATTCATTTGCACCCCAAATGGCTGGCTAAGTAGAGTTTTCCGGGATTTCATCACATGTGTAATACCAAAACGGTACAGTACATACATTACAAATTTGAATACAGAATATAAAATGAAATTTTCTGTCATTGGATCTTAAATGAGCTAAAATTTATTAATAATGACTTTACATAAGACCATTATTAATAACGTTTCATTCATTTATTTAATAGAATTTGCGTGAATGAAACACAAGATGGCTAATCAAAATTATTGTTTTTAATTTATACGTAATGTCTAAATCAAGAATAAATGTAATTTTTACCAGTTAATGATACAGTATTCTCTTTATAGCAATCTTTTATATCAGGGTCAACCTGTTCGGACTCAAAGAGCTGAATTTTGACATATTATACGTATAATTCACCTCTTTTTCCTTACAAAAGTTACCAAACTAAACTGTTCCGTCCAACAGTTGCCGGGTGAATAAAACCATTGAACAATGGTCGTGAGTTCGTCCCTTGCCAACAGGAGGGTTACGTGAGTTTTTCGGGTTTTGTTCAAGTTTGCGACATATAAATAGGGGCCAGTTTCCTATAGAAAGTCCTCCCGAGAAGCATCCCTCGGCAGATCGCCCACGTGTCACGTCGCCGTATACATACGAATAGATTAAATTCTTCCCTGTTATATGAAGACATAAAATGTTGGAAAATTGTAAGTAGTGAAGTATTTGAATAAGACAGCAGTTTAGTTTTTACGGTGGTTAACTGACTTTTGAACTACTTTTTATATCCTTCAGATAATTGTAAAAACTCTAGTTTTTTATCTATTCTGGACTATATTCTTTACAAGATTAATAATACAATATGGAATATAACAAAATTTATACATATTTTTCCATGTTTTTAATTTAGCTGAGATTATTATTCCATTTGTGAATTTCCACGAAAAAATAAAAACAAATTGCATAAGCTTGTAAAATTAAGAAATTTTATATTGTAAAAAAATTATCACTAATAATTAAATTGAGGAGTGAGCATAATAGTTATAGGCGTAAATTGGCTTGAACATAATATGATAACTTGATAAAATTACAAACAAATCATCAGTAAAACAGACCCATGTTTGCGTAAAATCGTAATTAAACACATTTCTACACTTCACACGCTATCTTAATCCTAAGATTTAACACCTTTTGATGTTTTCACTACTTAGTTGATGCTAACAACTGCATTTAATCTTTCAAGTTTCATGATATTTTAATGTTTTCGTAACTTTATAATGACAATTTATTTCAAATTTACTTATTATGAACTCCTGTAATAAATATTATATGATAGAAAATATGTTTTGTATATCTTATATAACAAACACATCGTGTAATTTCTTCGTCTTTATTAGCAATAAATCTGTAAAATATCTAGTCTAATCTTTAAAAAATAGCTAAATGGACTTATATATTTGTACTTTTATTAAGGGGGATTAGTAGTTTTCTAAATTTGATTTATCTTATCTTTTATTATAATTTTTCGCAATATTTTACGATAAAGAAAAGGTGAAACAAGCAAAGAAATTAACACACAATTAGAGGGCATTTCTAAGCTTTGACAATATCAAAGTCTTATTCTTTACCAATTCCATGCAGTGTTATATGCAAAATTCATACGATGTATTAGAACAGTGTTTCTCAACGGGGGCGATATCGCCCCACGTGGGCGTTTTTTCATGTTGAGGGGCGATTAGTAACAATTTATATTTTGGGGGCGAAAAACAATTTTCTGGGCGATATAGTGAAACATTATATTAAGAATAATTAGATATTTTATTCGTTATATCGTACAATAATTAAACAAATAACATTATACTAGTCACTAGTCTATTCATTTTCTTAGAATTTGGCATTAGCCTTGGCCCTGGGCATCGGAATTTTGAAGTGAAGGGGGCGATACTACGTTGAAGGGGGCGACGTTTTGTTAGAGGTTGAGAAACACTGTATTAGAACAACTGCGTGTATGCCGCCTTTATTGTGTGTGAATAAATTTACATTGACTCACTCGTTGATTCACTGTTATGAAATCTATGGTTTTGTTTGGTTTGATGGGATATGTTACGCAAAGCATGGGCGCCCTGTCAAGGTAGTAGGCCTACCTCCAGGGAGAACTTTCTACGGAAAACTGGCTATTTAGGTGTTACTTATTTGTAGAAAATCCGTCAATCTCTTGGGTCCATCAGTGGTTTTATCTACTCGACCACTGATAGACTCAACAAATCTACGAGTAAACACAGACTTCTTACTGTAAAAGTAAATGATTCAGTAGAAATGCTTGAAATGTTGAATGTTATATTTCACCAGGAGTGAAATTTAAATGTTTGGACGCCTATAAAACAAAATGCTGCGAACGAAGCATTTTAAAAAGTAGATAGATGATAATGTTAAATTTTTAATATCAATTTACTAAAATTATTTGAAATTGAGTTTTACCTCTCATCTTAATATCAAAATTACAATAGAAATAATCGATACTTACATATATTTTATTGATTTTCCGTGTGTAAGGCTTTTATATAAAGTTCTTCACAAAGGATTGTTGTAAATTACAAAAATGTTACAGCGTTTTTAATTAAAAGTTGAACCAGGAAGTTATATTTTAATTCTGTTTACTTTTTTCATTTTGTTTTAGAACAGTCTAAATAAAAGGACCCAGTGGCTCATCCAGTGCATACTCCCATTTGAATATATTTTAGAACCGAATTGTATTCCTCAATTTCGGATATATAAAACTGAACGAATATTTGAACTACTATAGTAGTCTTCCTTGACTGTTGCTCTTCTCTTTTACTCATTTAAGAACTTCAAGTTTGAAGACAGAGGAGGATCTAGGAAGAATGAATAATATAATAAAAATACAGAAAATTCTAGTAGATTGGAGCCATAAGAAGGAGACGAATAAAGTTGAAAAATGCTAGACACAGAGATATTAAAAGGAACATTTTGGTAAAATTTTTTATATTAAGTACATTGTAAGTGGAATTCAATATGAAGTTATCTCTTTATAGGCCTATATTCTTGTTATTGATGATAACTAAATACAAACATAATTTTAAAACACGCACAAAGTGAATTCAAAAGCAAAATAATTAATAATTAATTTAATAAATTTATTTTACAGCAATATGAAGATTTGTGATAAAAATTCAGAATTATAATGAAAATGTGTAATAAAATATTGAAGTAACCAAATTCAGAGAAAATAATAATGAATCGTTGAAAAAAATAGTATAGCAGTTAGAAAAGTATAAAAAACAGTCAACTAATTAAAAATAAATTACGGTAAGATTCACTATACACCGGAATAATTATTTACATAAATGGAAGAAACAAGGACCCATAACAAGTTAAAGTAAAAAAGAATAAGGATGCAAACTTTACAGAAAAATGGATTAATGTGGAAAAAGAAATTATTCAATTGTTACAATATCCCTACTAATTAAATATGAATAATCAGACTGAATAAAACGAACAATGTAGTGAAATAAATAATTTAGGAAGTTACAAGGTTTAGTTTTTTTTTTGTTATGAAATTTTGTTATCCATTAGTTTTATTTAAATTTTGTTGACAGAAGTTAAAAATGAATCAATTGTTTATAAAATTCTCGATCGAAGGAATATTAAAAATTTTTAATTTTTAGATAGGAATTCATAGTTTTCCCTTCTTTCAATATGAATATTAACAATTACGAAAAACACTCGAACTTATAGTTAAAAATATTAAATTTTATTTACAAAATGTTGTTATATTCTCACACAGTATTGTTAATTTTATTACTTTAAATTTAAAATTTAAAAAAATTTATAAATTTGGCATTGCAACATCCTATTTTGATACGGAGACAACTTTTTTCTCTTCTTCTGCTTCGTCCGAATCGTTATCAGCCCAAGGTTGCAATTCGGCTGAGCCAAAAACCAGGAAGATGACCATCCCCAATAAACAAAATCCCGCCGAGAGATAGTAGACGTAACTCCATTGCACCATGCTTCCTTGCTGTAAGCAGAATTAAACCATCAATCAAATTTCATTACAATAAGAATACATTAAGAACTTTCGTAATAAATGAAAATTTTATGAAGTTTTTATAAATAAGCTTTTTTATCAATAAAATTTATTTACATTTTTATCTAGGAACAGCCCAGCTATATACGGTGATAAGAAGCCAGAAACTGCAGCCATTCCATTAGTCAATCCGAACAACGGCCCTGAAACGTAAGAAATATTATATTTGTAATTGTTTAAAACTTAAGAATAAACAGAAATATGCTTATTTTACAATTCATGTTACAAACTTCACGTTTATATGGTTGACCGAGACGTATATCGTTATCTTAAGTTCGTTTCTAACATTGTTTTAAGTAATCTCGAGATTTATTGTCTGTTTCTTTTAAGGTGAATTATCACGAATACGAAACGTCTTTATCATTTGCAACAACCTTGTCAAATTTAATATCATTAACTCTCTGAGTCGATATTGCAATTTTATCCGCAACTTCCAACGTATTTTAAGGGTAAAGTTGGAAAAATTTGAGAAATATTAAAGAAAAATACTGGAGGAATTAACAGGATCTTAGTGAAAATAACAACGGCTCTTGTACGACTTTCCCATTACTCGAATAGGTTAAGGAACCAGCAAGTCCGATATTTTTCAATCAATTTCTAAAATTTATCTTTTGGGGTAAGAACGAGTGTTTAAAAACGTTGGTAATGACAATAACGAGTAAAATTTCATTAACTCTGACCCCATTCGAAATACGAACCTACACTTACTTTCCCCTTAACTCCAAAATGGAGTATAATTAATGCCCAAGATAGAAGTGTCGTGCCAAATTTCAAAATTTTTGATCCACGGATCTTGAGATATAGAGCGACATACAGACCAACATACCTACACATACACACATATTATATATATATATAAAGTTATGTATGAAGTAAGGCCTTCAAAAACCTACGAAAATTTTCACGGAATTTCATGAAGAATAGTAAAAGAGTTAAGGAAATTCCGATGAAATCGAAGTTTCTTGAAGTCTTTTTGAAGTTTTTCAGTTTCTTCCTAAAAAGAAGTCTAAAGAAAACAAATTCGTGAACAGAAAAAATAAAACAATCGAGGAATATGTAAAGTAAAACTCTGAAGAAAATACAAAAGGAAAATTGAACAAATTGAATAAACTACATACAAGTTTTCAGTTGCGGAATTTTAACATGTAATGAAGTAAATATAATTAATGTGTACCTGTATATTTAGGTGCTAAGTTCAGAATGATTGAGTTGTCACCGCCACCAACAAGACCCATGAAGCCAGTTGTCATGACGAGTATTATTATGACGTTTGTTGAATCACATCCAACCAGAGGAATGCATATCATGCATGCACTGGTTCCTATAATAGCTAAATAATACAATAACTTAATTATACTCGAATCATTATATTGTATAATTAGAAAATTTACACTTACAAAGTGTCTCGAAGCCTTTTCTGACGTTTGTTACGCTGAAATATTTACGTTTAATAAACAAATCTGATAAGTAACCAGATATAATGAGGCCAAACGTATTCGCTGAATACATGAATGCGTTTATTAAGCCATTCTGTTAAGAAATAAATTTATTAATCTGAATTTTTTTCTAAGAATATTCATTAAAATTGGCAGACGTTACCTGCTGTATTGGGAAATGCAGGATATTCTCGAGATACGATGGTAATTTTGATAGAAAGGTATAGAAACCCCAAGCAAACAACATTTTTACAATGCACGTCGCCCATACTGGTACAGATGTTAAAATACTCTTCCAAGGAATTTTCTGGTTCTGTTAAATATGCAAAATTATCTTAATAAGGAAGCACTGTCTCAAAACCTTATAAAACTCAATTTACAATATACCTTAATATTATTAGTATTATTATTCGAGTTTTGTTGTATATGAAGAATCTCTTTTTGAGTAATGCCGGAAAATTCTTCCGGATAATCATATACAAAAAATAACAAACCGAGGGACAAAACACATCCATAAATACCTGAAACATAATAAATGTAATTGTTTAACATTGGTGAATAATAATTAACTCTATGGAAAAAATTAGATAATTACCAAAAACGTAGAATGTTGAAGGCCAACCACCCGAGAAACCATATTCACACAAGTAACCAGACAGTGTCATGGAAATTATGGAACCAACTAAATTTCCACTCACGCAAATAGCCATTAATGTACTTCGTTCGTTAACTGGAGACCATCTTGAAAGTATGGTAAATCCTGATGGATACGTCAGTCCCTAAAGTTAATAGGAAAAAAATTACTTTGAAGATATTAAAAATTTAAATGTGGTTTAAGTAACTTACCTGCAACACTCCTAAGACAACTCTCTGACATGTCAAGGCCGCTACACCGAGTTCGGCTAGAAGTGGTGTTATCGACAATAACGCCGACGAAAAAAACACAGTAATGACGTAAGTACGCTTAGCACCTAAAAGATGAACTACAGAACCTCCCAAAAACTGGAAAATGACATAACCATAATAGAAGCTTCCTAAAATAATTCCTTGTTCGGGTTGACTCCAAACGAATTTTCCCTACAGTAAACAAAATACAGTGATTAATCAGAGGAACCCTATGTAATGTATAATGTACGATACGACACTCACTTCTCTATAATTATACGTGATATTTTGATTTTCAGCACTATCAGGGCATTCGTGAGGTAGAGTATTTTCAGTTTCGCTCATCTCGACCGCCGAATTATTTACCATGGCTACAATAGCTACGTTCAGCACGACTCTATGAGCATACATCTCCATACATACCAAAAAAATAAAGAAAACCAACACATATCGTGCAGGTAAGATTTCTGTAACAAAAAAAAAAAAAGGAAAGACGATTTGAGAAAGTGAGAAAATAATGTTACGCTCCAATTTAAAAAAAAAAAATCAAATAATATTTTACAGCGTAGATAAGAGATGTATCGAATTTTATAGGTTACTTACTGTATAAGGTTTTTCCTTCGCGTACGTTCTGCTTCATTTTGAAGTATGAAGCTTTCGAATGGACTGGTGTCACTTTTGTATAGAAGCTTACGTCACTCAGCTTTCGTAATTTTATCAACTGTATTATAATTCAGCATCAGTGATATATAACCTGATATCTACGGTCCAAATCCCGTTTCGACAGTTTTAAATTTAAATGATACTACCAAAGAAAATGGATTGCAACTTAATTTGCTTACGTCGAAACCATTTACGTATATGTAGATACATTTTTTTTTATATGTTATAGATATTTAACATTGGAGGAGTGTCGTTTATATTTGGAATTTCTTAATTAATGGCTTATTATTAAATGATGAAGTTTTTTGGTGGTCAGTCTGAGTAGACAGTTTGTTTAATATTTTGGATCGAGTTACTTGAACTGATGTCCCCTCTCTTGTTTAAGTATTATCTGGAAAATTCTGCTAATTAAGAACATGTGGAATGAAATTGGCTATTTATAACTTATATAAATTTAAATCGTTATGAAAGTTTTAAGTTTTACGAAATTATTTGTATTTCGGATTCTATACGCGAAACTGACTCATATTTTAAAAAGAAAAAACTTAAATTATATCACTGGTTAAATTGATTATTCATTCTTTTAATAATTTCTTACATAAAAAATATCTTATAATTTTAGAAATATTTTAGAAATATAAATTAGTTTAAATGTAACATTACTAGATTAGAAAATTGAAATTAAATTGTTGCCAATACTTGAGAAATTTTTATAGGAATTTACATTAAGTTGTTGCTATGTATGTATGCTGACTTAAAAAAATTATAAAATTATTGTATCATTTTGAGTTAATATTTTATTTTTCCTCCTCTATAGAATTCGTTTGTGAACTAAACATCTAGTGTATCCTCCGTTCTGTTTGAATAACAAAGATGTAAGTAATTTTTCTGTAATCATAAAATTATAATTATCTTGATAACATTATCAAGATCTTCGTCATTAATCTAAAGTCCACAAAACAATTTTATAAGTAAATTTATACTATTTTTCCGTACACGAAACACGAACGTAATTAATTTTATGTACATCACCTTACAGCTGTTCATTCTCTGTAAACGTCGCCATTCTGATTTAAAACGGGATGAAGCTATTAAGTAGATTGGTGGCTTGCTACAGAAGAAATATAAAAATTTACTTGCATAAATTTTATATAATGAAAGTACAAATTTTTCCATCTCAAACACACGAAAATATGATATAAATTTCTTAAAATTTTCGTTGGAAATGCAACTTCTTATGTAACATTTATATTACAAGAAATTATTTGTCAATTTGCGAGATTTCATTTTAAAATTCAATTAAATTTTAATAGACTATTTAACTTTTTTTCGTGATATAAAAGAGATTTCTCCCCTAAGAAAGTGTCAACGTACTATTTTAATTAATACATGTGCACATTATACACTTGTACATTTGTCATTTTATGTATTACCATAACCCGAATACAAATTAATTAAGAGAATGCCAAAAATAATTAACTTATGCTACACGATATTAAGTGTAATTAACTAACTAACGATTATCCTACATTATAACTAAGTTAATTCATTGTTAAGAATTGTGTTTATTTTTCAAGAATAATTTGAAATGAAAAATCTAATTATAATTAAAAGCGAATTTGATGTAGAAAATTCATATTTTGCATTCAAAAATTCATTTGGATTCAAAATAAAATTTAAAAAAAAAAACATTTTATTCTTTTTTTAAAAAGAAATAGTTTATTTATTCGTACCTAGGTGGCACTAACAGTATATATATATAGCTCAGTAGAATGACGTCATATTTCACACGGAGGTTTCTGTGGTAGAATTTTATTCGAAACAAAAAAAATGTCCGCTAGAGCGGTAAATGGCGCTGCAATATCGTAGCGGATAACTTAAAATGTCTCAAAACTTACGACATACACGTTACACACAACAATGCTCGCCATTATCGAACTTATAAAAGAGGCAAAAATTCGATAATGGAGAAGAACCATTTGACCTATAAATTGACACTGCTGTTGTCTGTCCGTCCGTCCGTCCGTCCGTCCTTAATCTCGAGAACAGAGTTAGATCGATGGAAGCCGACACCAGTTATGGAAAGCTTATTGACAATAGAATCTCGATTAACTATATACGAACTTCCGATGCAAACCGGAAGTCACGGTATTTCAATTCAAAAATTTTCCCCTGAAAGGAGTTAGATAGATGACCGGCACGACTCAATTGCTAACAGGAAAAGTATGATGTACAGAGGCAAAACACTTCTAATTCGAGACATAGAGCATATATTTCAAATTAAGTAAATTAAAAATATGATTAAAATTGCAGCCTGTATTGTGACGATGTCACAATAAATATTTGCTCGCTGGATCATCACTTCCAGCTGTTAATGCGTTATAATGTTATATCGAAGATTTTAAAATGTAACAGTGATATAAAGAAATACAATATCAGTCTCTGTGAATTACGTTATTGTCTGTGCAATCTGACATCATAAGTAAACTTAATATTGTAGAAAAATTTAAAGTTACTGACAAATCTTATCGAAATCTCTANTGTTGGTGTCTATTTTGCTTAATATCTCACAATAGGGTAAAGATTAATAAACAAAATTTGGCATGGTGGCTTGCATATGATGATCATTGATGCTATTAAATTTTGGTGGTAAAAGGTCAAGAGGGTGAGGAGAAAGAGGGAGGTCACGTATCTCTAGAGGGGTAGGATGTAATGAAGATTTTTTTGTTAACACTTACACTTTTTCATCAAACTCGCCCCTACTTTAAAAATTTATATTTTTATTTACTATAAAATGCAAAAAGCTTAATTTTGAGGGTAAGGATGAACTTTATAAAATATTCTAAATGCCAATAACGAGTAAAATCGTCATTAAGTCCGATCCTACTCCAGATATACACGACCCCATTATCTCCCCAACCCTCGACCTTTAACCGCCAAAATTTAATAGCATCAATTCCCTAATACACAAACTTCCCTGTAAAATTTCAAAAATTTTCGACAAAAAGCACAGGAGTTATTTAGCTTCAAGCAGGTTGAACAGATTCTTGCCATACACACAGACGTTGACGACACATGATGAGCTCCATGCCTCCTAATCCGCTAGAGCAAAAAGTGCTCCCCTTACACTATCTTATTACACATTACATGATCCCGAGCAACAAATACATAGTATTACATGCCATTATACTTTGAATATATTTGAATAGATTTTAAATAATAATCACAAATAAATATACAGTATTAATTAAATAATGGCAACCTTTAAGAGCTCGCTTGTCAAATCCAATGCAATGTTGAGAATGAAATGTTTCGAAAAAATAATAAAATACGGATAAATAAAGTAATTTTTGCTATTTAGAAAGTAAGTAATATGTTAAGTAATTTTAAGATTTCTATATTAGAAAGTTATATAAATTTAATATATTTCAAGTTTGGATTAAATGTAATAGCAAATAATATTTTTAAAGAATTTTAAGTGGAAATTTTAGAAAAATAAAATTTTGGTAACCAGAACGTAATATAGCCTTGCAAATATTCTTAAAATATGGAATACTGAGTTAATTTTTCGAGGAAAAGAGAGAATGTTAAATTATTTACATTAGTTTTTCAGTAAAAATAAATTATGTAATGTTTGAAATTAAAAAAAAATACAAACTTCTGATCTATGCAATAGAAATATCTTCGATTTTTTTCCTTTTAAAGTTAAATAATAATACGTATATGCTGCGTGTTTCCTGTAAGAAACATTATTATAAAGAGAATTTTATTAAGTAAGGAATTCATACATCCAAATTCAATATATTATGAATCCCATCCTATAAATCAGGGGTGGCCAACAAGTCGATCGCGATCGACCGGTCGATCACGAAGTCAATTTTGGTCGATCGCTCGCGATGTCTTGAATTAATGTGTTACACTTGTAACCGAACGTAACGCGCAAACGCAAATGTAGTGATATTGGACCATCGCGTCTTTCCTCAGATGCGGTTTTGTCGGTCCATGTGCTATTCATTTGCATACTGTTGTAAAAGGGAAATAAGAAATGTAGACAAAGGATCGTAAAACCAAAAAAAAAGGTGGGAAGAGGGACAGAGGGAGTAGTCGGGACACGGTAGAAAGAGGAAGGGTGAAGTGGTGGTCCCCGAAAATTGAGTTTCAATTTTTATTCTGTTTACAATGTACCTTTTCTTCATGTTTTAAATTAAATTGTGGCTTTTCTTACCTATCTAAACATAGTATGCATTTCACACCACCCCCCCGTCACTTAGACTAACCCTACGACAACAAGTCGATCGCGACACATTTTTAAGGTAAAAAGTAGATCTTCTGTACATAAAAGTTGGCCACCCCTGCTATAAATGATTCATTATAGATTCTCGAATAAAATTATTGATATACAGAACTCTGCGTAATTTTAGTATCACTATCTCGCTTTTTAAATGCTGGATGCTATAATATATATAAATGCGTAAAGATATAATAAACATATTGTAAAGATGATTATTGGTTGTAAAAAATTACAGAGATGAAAAATAATAGAAAAGCTAATTGTCGTTCTACAAGAAAGGAGTGAATAAGAGAAAAGTCATGGAAACAATGATAACCAAGAAACACTCATATCATTATCTCAATGCAGAATCAAGAATGGGCAAAATTAATTTTAATAATACTAAATTAAGAAATCATCATCTTACCTTCGTTGAGAAGCCAATAATTCCAGTATTAAAACATATCTGATATGTATCCAACATATTTATTATGTTTCTAGAAAAATAACAGTCGATATCAATATGATATATCTTAAAGTAACAACTATATACTCAGTAGGAGGTCTCATAGTGAGTTTTATTTATTTTTTTAAATTAAGTTTCAGATTTTAGACATTGTTACTATTTTTTGCTATAACATACTAAATATACAATATTTATTTAAAAATTACATAATACTTTAAGTAATTAATAAGATCGAAATAGTTTTAGCCAGTGTTATTGTGGTATATGTGAAATAAAATTTCAGAATCTCGATACTTTATAACAGAAAATCTTTATAACAGAAAATCTTGGAAAATTAATTATATGGCTAATAATATTTATAAACTAACAAGTTAGATAAAATATAATTTACAAAATTACATATTGGATCCATAACAAAATACAGTGGTACCTCAGGATACGAAATTAATCCGTTCCGAAACTGAGATCGTATCATGAAAATGTCGTAAGGTGAATCATCTTTTCCCATACGATTACATGTAAAACCAAATAATTCGTTCCAACGCGAAAAACATACTCAAATTAAAGCCAAGTAATACATAAAAAAAAATAACTGTAGTAAGAAAAACAAATGAAAAATGCGAACTAATGTAACGTCGTATGGTGAGTTTTTGTTCGTATCGTGGAGCAAAAATATGTTCGAATTTCATGTCGTATCCTGAAAATTTCGTATGCTGGGGCGTTCGTAACCTGAGGTACCACTGTAGTTATAATTTAAACTATGATTCATGAAAGATTTTATGTAATAATGTGTATAACATGTTAGTAATACTATAATCTGTAAATTTAACAATTTAATTCAAGGTTTAAGTTAAAATGTATGTATTTAACTTTAAACACTTTTATAAAGTTTACATAAATCATTACTGTATACATCATATAGGCCTATATATTACAGTAGACCTAGTATACTTACTAGTAGACTTATGACATACATTATAGCTACGGTGACCATATTTTTTGGGGGAAAATAAAGGACATATCGAAGAAAGAAAATAAAAAAAAATACCTTATAAAATTCACAAGTTTATACACTATCCGGAACCTGTAACCACTGGTGTGTGATGCATATATACTGTATATCGCTGTTGACAAATGTTTTCGAGCAATCTCTTTGCTCTTCTTCAGATCGACTGGAATTCCCTGGACAGAGTGTATTCTATTTGTTGGGATCGTGTGTCAATTCTGACGGAGTGGGTCCTTTCTGACATGCACGGTCTTGTGGTGGGGGAGGAAGTGGCGGGTTGGCATTCAACAGTGATTGCCAGGCCAGAGACAGAGTCAGCACTTCCTTCTGGTTAACGCACGTGGTTAGCTGGCCGACACTGTAGATAGCTGTGGCCTCTAGCCACCTGAGATGCTCTTGGTGAGGCATGTTGATGATAACAGTAGCTTTTTCGAATCGCGCTTTGACTTTGTATGGGGGTAACTTGTTCAATATATTATTAAAAAATTTTTTAAACTTTGCGTCGAATTTACAAAATAAAGGACAAAATGACTATTTTATAAAATAAATAAAGTTAGAGGACAGAGCAATGAAATAAAGGACTGTCCTCTTAAATAAAGGACGTATGGTCACTGTAATTATAACCACAATACAACACCTTAAGTTGCTGTGAAATTTATTAAAAAACGTAACTAACTGTAACTAACGTTTTCAGCCAAATCTATTGGCCATCCTCAGGTTAAAAGAGAAAAATAAACGTATTCTAAAATATATTGATATAAATTCGAATATAAATACAATGGAACAAATTTAAATACAAAATTAACGTAAGAAATATAACATAAAATTTTCATACATGCATAAAAAAATAAAAATATTATAACAAACTATACATACATAAATACATGTACAAGATAAATAAAATTAAATAACAAACTATTATGACATTATATAATAATATCGTATATAATATACGAAAAAAAAAATGCAAGAAATGCATAAACAAAAAATCAAGGCATAAATTATGAGCTCTCAAACTTTTTAATTACCGTAAGTACTTCCACGCAGATGGTAACCCTTCAGCATCCCTAGCATTAATGCACGTATCATGCAGCTTGCTCTTATAAATTTCCATCTTTTTTGCGCTCATCGTCAACATCGGGAAGTACACGGGCTTAACAATATTTGCTTCCTCCCATTTTACTACGGAGCCCTCAGCCTGCGCCATCTGAGATAGTATTGTGGTATTGGATCCCTTACTGACATTGTATTTGTGCTCTCTCAATCTAACTCCAAAATTTCTTGTAGTAACACCAATGTAGTTTTTCTTGACACCTAATTCCATGTTTTCATATGGAATCCGGTACACTACAGTCTGTAAAGAAATTATAAACTCAAGTGAAATTTCTCTGTGTTTTAATTTCTTTTCATCCACAGTTCATTGTTGCTATATCTAATGATTTTAATTAGTGTTAAGAATTTATAATGAAATAAACAAGTCTTTGTATTGTATCATTTTAATAAACAATCAAAAATTTTAATTGTTACAATTTTTTGTTGTAAACAATTTATAAACTCAAGGGCGATTTAGAACGTTTTTAATACTTTGTGGACCCTCCCTTGTTTTCAATTACCTCCACAACTCGTTTAGGCGTTGAATCAACCAGGTTTTGAATGTCACTTAGTTTAATTTTGTCCCAGGCATTATACAATGCAACTTTAAGCTCATCGGATGTGTTGTATTGTTTTCCATGGCGATAAACTAATGCCACAAGTTGACTCCAAAGGTTTTCAATGGGATTAAGGTCTGGACTATGTGCTGGCCAAACCATAACTTCAATTTTTTCACGTGAAAACCACTTTGTAGTACTGGCTGACTTGTGAACAGATGCATTGTCCTGTTGATAGATCCAGTCTTGACCACCAATGAGAGGACCAAATGGGATTAGATGTTCATATAAGATAGCTTGGTACATCTCAGAATTCATTCGCCCATTAATAAATGCCAAATTGTTTTTCCTTCATATCCGATTGCTGCCCAGATCATTACTGAACCTCCACCTTGTTGTCTACTGAATTTGACCCTGGGATTTTTTCTTGTATCATGCCAATAATATGCTTGGCCATCCGGGCCATCCAGGTTAAACTTTTTCTCATCTGAGAAAACTATTTTTATCCATTCAGTTGTCCAATTAACATGATCTTTTGCCCATTGCAGCCTTGTTGACCGATGTAACTCTGTAGCTTTGGTTTGGACTTCAATTTCCTAAAGTTTATTGTTTTATTCTTTCTCAAGCTTTTCTACACAGTTTTGTGGGACACTGGAGTTGGTAAAACTGCAGCTATCTCACGAGTAGACAATGATTCATTTGTTGCAAGACTAGCAATGCGGCAATGGTCATGAGGCTGCAGACTTGGTTTTCGTCCTGTACGTTTAATTTTGTTATAATTGTCACCCTTTTTTAGTACATTTTGTACTGCAGTTTGAGATCTACCAAGTTTTGAAGCAATTTTTCGAGTTGGCCATCCTTTTCCCTTAAAGAAATAGATTTTTCATATTTCACTTTCAGTTAGGGTTATTCCCCTTGGCATTTTTGTCACTTTTTTAGTTTGAATTCTCAGACTCACCCAAAATGTTACACATACTAATTTACATTACTATTACAGTTGAATGGATTGTTCCATTCAACTGTAATAATCAGTTTTCACCCTTGAGTTTATAAATTGTTTACAACAAAAAATTGTAACAATTAAAATTTTTGATTGTTTATTAAAATGATACAATACAAAGACTTGTTTATTTCATTATAAATTCGTAACACTAATTAAAATCATTAGATATAGCAACAATGAACTGTGGATGAAAAGAAATTAAAACACAGAGAAATTTCACTTGAGTTTATAATTTCTTTACAGACTGTACCACTCTTCCTTCTTTATCAATGTTGTCCTTGTCATTTCTTAATATCTTATATCGGTTGGGACCTCTCTTGTAAATTAATTTGGATTTTTTGCGCTCTGAGATTTTTCTCATGATGGCTTTCTTACTTCTATCGTAAGTGAACTTTGTGATTTATCTATATCGCCACATGGAGCCTTTGTTAACATGCGCATTTTCTCATTACTGACAGGCATTTCAATAACATTCATGCACACAATAGTCTTAAGAATATATAAAACAATAATAGATAATGCTTCTAATAATTCGAATGCCATTTCTTTGCTTAATAATAGTTCTGAATAATTTAACATTAATTTTAAATTTCAGAAAAAGTTTGTCCAAATTAAATTGATTTTTTATATTTGCAATTTATAAAATACATTTCTCAAAACAAGCAGAGAATATCTTTTCTCGGATTTATTTTATAACACAATCAGTACTCTTCACCCAAGTTTAATGTTTTAGGTCTAATGCATCGTGTTATTCACGAATAATTTCTGAATAACTATCATTGTCCACGCTAAGCGAACTATCGTTATAACGATTGAGAGAAACAACACACGCTATTAGTATTACTTTGTCTTAAATTGCATCAAAAACTAAAAATCTGTAAAACAATTTTTAGCACTGATCAGAAATTCTGTAAACAATTCTATGAACGATTGGCTTGTCTCCTACAATAAAACAAACACACCCAAGAACACAAACGTACTGACACCAAGAATCACAAACTCTTGCTAGGACAAACAAAAACAATGAAGGGCACGAACCGAACACCTGCATCCACGAACTGAAGTAATACGATGCAAACCACATGTTGAGTAAGGTATCGAGAGAAAGCAAAACACACGTTTACACAGAATTAAAGCGAGCAACCTTAATTAATATGTCACGGAAGGAAGTTTGTCGACATTGCAATATCCTCCATTGAAATGTATACGGTTAAAACGGCGAAACTTTCACTATAAGCCACTTTCATACTTTACTATAAAATGAAAATATGCCTCTATATTGCCATAGAAGTGCATATTCTCCCGACTAAGCGAACTCACTCCCCTAACTTTCCCTAACACGAATCTAGATTTACAATGATAACGTCATACTACCGTATTTTTGGCTTTTGTTCTATTTCAAGACATCTAGGGCATTTTTCTCTCTCTCTATCTCTCTCTTTCGAAATTCAACAAGTAGAAATTAATGACTTTAGTTTTGAGTAAGATTTTATAAATTTTCAAAAGCATTCATTTATCCTCAAACAATTTTAATTTTCATAATTCATCTGGATTGACTAAATTTAAATCAACGAGTCTTGATATTAATAAATTGAGGAACATCGAAGATTGATTTATTCATGCCAGTCCTTTGATTAGTAAAATAAACAAAAACTTTAATTATTTTTAAAATCGAAAGGATAATACTACAATAAAAATTTCCAGTATATTTGCTTGTTTTAAGTTAAAATTACATTGACTTATCGATAGTGGGTACTTTCTCGTTTTATATCGAAGTAGTGATCTTAAATTCTAAATAAAAAAACAAAGAAATTAATAATAAAAGAAAATCATTGCTTATTAGATATGAGGAATTTATTCTTTAGCTGTTATAGCCTTCAAAATGAGACTGGAATCAAATAAACATTTTAAATAAAGTAAAAAAAAGGCACACAAACTGACGGTTACCACTCACCATATGCAAAGTTTTTAGAATCTAACGTTGTCAAGTTCCCACCACTTTGTGCCTAAGTGGCAAGCAGCTAAATAAGTGACCAATGACATAGTCTGTTTCATATAAAACAAACTCTATCATTGGCTTGCTTACTTAACTGCTTGACACATAGGAGCGCCTTTTATTTATAATTAATTTTCCATCAAATTTTATTATTAAAATATTGAATCGATTGTAAGAAGTAGAATTATCCGAATTTTTAGATTATAAAAAAGTTATAGTATGAAGAATATGATAGTCTACGATTTTCATAAATGTTTTTATTTTAAATAATTTCACATGGGGAACGAGCAGTGTCATTTCTCAGAGAATTATACTTTAAACTCGCGTAGTAAACATTCATAGAGTTGTCAAGATTGGTGCATAAAAGCGGAATAATTAAGACGATATAGGGCTATAAACAGTAGTGAATTTCTCATTAGGGTCCACAAGGCCCGGGCCTAGAATTGGGGTGCAAAAATTCAAAATAATAATAATAGTAACAACAATAAAATAATGCAAAAAATTGTTTTAAGTAGAAACAACTCATAAAAAAATTAGTGCAAATTGAAAGCTTAAGTAGGAGCAAAATAAAACGTATCAGTCGAGTAGTATTACAGTAATACATCAATTTAACAGTGGTAGTACTAATGACGGGCTTTCAATATCAGCGCCCTTTGCCCTTTCTATATTTAAAAATTTGTAAAAATATAATCATTATAGAAGCCAAACGATTGTCGGATTATATCGGGCGTTATTACTACTACTAGTATTGAATGCTAAGTAATTTGGCATTAGAAAGGCGTTAGGCGCCATCTCTTGCTAAATTTAATAATTATTACCGTGTGGTCACGTTGCAAGTTACGCTACCCGGACCTTCGTTCGATAATTGCTATAATTAAATNTTATCATGTGATCATAAACTTTAATATAAACAAATAAAATTCTCTCTTCATATATAAACATCTTAAACTCCATAGTTATGTATTAAAGCCAAATGATTGCCAATATTGGGAGTTGAGAGTTCGACAGTCCTAATTTGGGCTGATTCTTTTCTTCCAGAATATTCTAAATTATTTAATGAAAATATTAATTATAATTATTAAATTTAATAAGAGATGGCACCTAATGCCTATCTCTAGTGCCAAATTATTTGGGATTTAATAATTATTACCGTGTGGTCACGTTGCAAGTTACGCTACCCGGACCTTCGTTCGATAATTGCTATAATTAAATTAATTATTAAAATATTAATTATAATTATTAAATTTATCAAGAGATGGCGCCTAATGCCTGTGTCTAATGCCAAATTACTAAACAATAATAGTAGTGGTAATATAGCCCGATAAAATCCGTAAATCCTTTGGCTTTTAATAAATAATTATTGGCTTTAAGACGTTTGTATTTTAATTATTGCAGAATTAAAATTATAAAATACAATCATTCGGTGCAAAAGTGGCGTTGTTAGTTTGGGCGTCTGCTTATTGTGGGCCTATGGGCGCCATATTTCTAAATCCGTTATTGTAATTAACTTTAATGACAGAGTTAATCGATCATCTCTTCAATATAAAAAAAGAAGGTTGGTGGAACAAGTTGTTGCCTTAATTTTGATACTCGTGTGCATCAGCCTCTAATGCATGCTTATTTGCTTGATATAAATCATCGATAAGCGTGATTAAAGGAGCTGGCAGTAAATTACGTAACGCAGATCGGGGGGTTGCAAAATATTTTCAGGACCCAGAATTTCCCCAGAACATGCACAAAATTTCCCGAAATTATTGCATACTAGCACACAAAATAAAACAACAATTCACGAAAGAATTAATAATTATTACTATGTATTTTAGAACATTCAAATTAAATCATACAAGTAATTAAATAGGCCCATCGTATAATATCCATACAACACTAAACTGCTATTTTTATAACGAGGTGCTAATTAATTAACGGACTTTTTAGACATTCGAAAAGGAAAAAGTTTACAAGTTTTCTAACATCATTTAATGTCTAGATTAATTTCCTAACGTCTTAATATATTTTTAAGAGTAATTTAATTATTCGGATTCAAAATGTTTTGTCGTTTATCGTTGGAATGACGGAATTTGGAAAACATCGACAATTTTCCTGGAAAAAGTGTACATAAAGGGATTCTTTTTTCATTTTTTAGTATCGGAATATCCTGAATTTAATTTTGACAAGAGAATTTCATCAATTGGTATGTTTGCCATAAAGTTTGGTATGCAACCTGCAGATGCAGATTGTTCGAAATGTGATGGTCGTTGTAAGTTAAATTATCGAAAGGATCGTGATTCTCTTTATTTTAGTTGTCAAAAATACAACACTTCGTCATTTGAAGTAATTTTTAAACTTAAATTTGGGAAAGATTCTTGAAGAACTAATTTTTCCTTTATTTGGCATCTAATTTGCATAGAATGACACCTGTTTGGCTGTGGGCGTGAGTAGTCGAACAGCTGTTGACAGGACGAATTTCATGCGACACAGTGTGATTGTTTCTTAGCCTAAATTTACCAGAGTGAAAATTGGATGGACCTGGAAAGGTTATCGAAATCGACGAGATTGTTGTGAGCAAAAGGTAAAATCTAAGAGAACAGCTCGACCTGTTTGTTAAGCGTACGAGTAAGTTTTATCCAAGAGAGGGACGTGTTTTAGTTTGGAAAGTGCCAGATAAATTACTTTCAAATAAATTTTGAAAGTAAGTACCAATAAATCCGAAAATCGTAAGAGGAATGAATGTAGACTTGTGTTAAGAATGCTGAAAAAGTTTCTAGAATGGAATAGGCTGAAGTTACGAAAGAATCATCCGAACCATGTCTTTTACCAAATAAATCGGAGGAAAGGAATTATCAATATGTCAACGGTGAGTGAAAGTTTTTTTCTTTTCTTTAAATGCCGGTGTATTTAATAGCTGCGATGGCGACCGGAAGTGCCGCCATAGGGACTATCTAAGTAAATTTTTACCAAAAAGTATTAACTCAAAATCTATTTTTGAAAAATTATGAAAAATAAAGTAATGTTTATAAAATGATGATAAAACTTCTGTTTCGCTGTTTAATCTAGACAACTCTGTAAAGGATTTTAATCGTAGTTTGTTAATTTGCAAGGAGATCTATCAAATAAACTATATATTCACGTGTCATCTCAAAATTCAACAAAACTTTGCAGAGATTCGTTTGAACCTTAATTGCATATGTGCAAATTTTGGACCCTATTAAAAAACACCAAAAATCTTTGATTTTAAATATTTTGAGTGGGACTAATTGGATTTAAAAAAAATATTTTTGGTTATTGGTAGTATACATGACTATCATTATTCTGCTTTAATTTCATTTCGATTTCTTTAATCATACCCAACATGGACCACAACGGAGACACGAGTGGTCGGACCCAAGAACAGGACAGCAGGGTTTTCCAACAAAAACTTAGTTAAAATATGCAAGTCAAACAAATAAGATTGATCCAACAAATAAAATTCAATATTTGACACTTCATTAAAATTGGTTTAATTAGAATTATTCACTTATTTTCCAAAGTAACTACTACCTACTTAACGCTTGTATCTATCAATTTTTACCACAATGCTACCTCACCTACAATGTCCCTATTTCTGGTCCGGACCTGGGGAAAAATCCCTAAAGATACTGGGTATAACAATACAGCTATAGAGAATCTAGGTTCAAATCTTATAATTTATTATTAACAATATGTGTATTTTTCATTTTTACCTTTCCGCCATGCGGACACTAAGTGTGTCTTTTAAACAAATCCATCATGAGTTCGGCCGGGCCTACAAGTCCAGGCAGTCGGGTGGTGAAGGACGAGCCCCAACATATTTAAGACTTGAACCCATCCATGAAAAATTCTTGTAGGTTCCTCGCGCAGATTCGATTTCGGATCTCTCAGCAAGGTATCATGACATCTTATAATAGATGTGTATATATATATATTTTTTTTGTTTAAAAACATTTTTGCTCGCATTTTGTATCAATGACTTAATTATATTATGAAAAATATTTAATCGTGCACACGTATCAAACTTTAAGGACTGAAATTTGTACCTGAAGAGAACTGTAGGCAAATATGGCAAGAACTGTATTACTCGATGTCTAACACGGGGTAATACACAAGTTGTAGGATTTTACAAATCAAAGCAATAAAAACAAATCTCTGGTGAGAGACACGTACAGCAGTTAGACATAGATGGAAAATGGATGGGAAGTGCTTACCAATATTCNTAATTATGAAAATATACTAGCATGTTTTTTAATTTTTGGAACCTAACCCTCCTTTTCGTATTAGTTCTTTGTTTCGTATAACACGGATTCGCATAACACGGCAATTTTTTGGAACGTAACTACCGTGTTATACGGGGGTTACCTGTACTTCAATATCCAGTTTATTAGCAAGATTTACATAAAATGATTCGAAATTTTATTATTGTTACGAGTTTAATTGAAGCGGAACAACTTTCTTGCCAAATATCTCGTTTCTCTGTTGTACATTTTAAATTTTTACACCACTTGCAGTCTGCAAGTGATGTAAAAGTGTATAACTTTTGCTGTTATAGCAACTCTGTGCCTGACATTTTCACACCCCACTTGCTAGAAATCCACCGATTCTAAATTCACGTGCCTCTTCGTAAAAACCGACGATCTGAAACTGAATCGGCAATCGCGTATTACAAAAAAACTCGAAAAATAAAACTGAAATGAATAAATACGATACAAAAAGTCATTTAAAAAAGTACTCACGTGCTATAAACACAAGGTCTGACACGATACCGTAATGCATCTTGGCAGTCGCCATATTGGGTCCTTTGAGATTCTGTGTACAGTGTTTTCTAGAGCGAATTTAGTTATTGATTTTTTTTTCGATCTCGATTAGTCGAATTTCTTGTTATCTATTTTTTAAAATGGTTTGGTATTCAGCACCGAATTGTAAAAATCCGTCAGCCAAAGGTATAAGGTTGTTCCGTTTTCCCACTGACAATTCCAGGAGAATGATGATTTAAGAGTTATTAGAAGTAATGGTTTATTAATGATTATAAACAGAGGAATCAGATTTATTAGAATTGAATAATAATAAATTTTCATCGTAAATAATTGAAGAAATGCTGCTTTAAATATTTTTTGTCCCAAGGTGACAATTTATAGTTTGATAATGTACTCAACTTTCTTAATGTACATTAAGAAAAAAACATGATCTGCTTACATTTAAAAAGCTTTTTTAAACAAATGTTTTTAGGACATTTAAATCTGAAAAAGCAATGTTTAAACTATTTATCAGAGGAACCACATAATACTTCGTATTATCATACGAAATATTCACTAATCAATTATTTTTCAAAAACATCTCATTTATATTAATTAAATTATTATTATTTATTTATTTGCNATTTTCAGGACCCAGAATTTCCCCAGAACATGCACAAAATTTCCCGAAATTATTGCATACTAGCACACAAAATAAAACAACAATTCACGAAAGAATTAATAATTATTACTATGTATTTTAGAAAATTTAAATTAAATCATACAAGTAATTAAATAGGCCCATCGTATAATATCCATACAACACTAAACTGCTATTTTTATAACGAGGTACTAATTAATTAACGGACTTTTTAGACATTTGAAAAGGAAAAAGTTTACAAGTTTTCTAACATCATTTAATGTCTAGATTAATTTCCTAACGTCTTAATATATTTTTAAGAGTAATTTAATTATTCGGATTCAAAATGTTTTGTCGTTTATCGTTGGAATGACGGAATTTGGAAAACATCGACAATTTTCCTGGAAAAAGTGTACATAAAGGGATTCTTTTTTCATTTTTTAGTATCGGAATATCCTGAATTTAATTTTGACAAGAGAATTTCATCAATTGGTATGTTTGCCATAAAGTTTGGTATGCAACCTGCAGATGCAGATTGTTCGAAATGTGATGGTCGTTGTAAGTTAAATTATCGAAAGGATCGTGATTCTCTTTATTTTAGTTGTCAAAAATACAACACTTCGTCATTTGAAGTAATTTTTAAACTTAAATTTGGGAAAGATTCTTGAAGAACTAATTTTTCCTTTATTTGGCATCTAATTTGCATAGAATGACACCTGTTTGGCTGTGGGCGTGAGTAGTCGAACAGCTGTTGACAGGACGAATTTCATGCGACACAGTGTGATTGTTTCTTAGCCTAAATTTACCAGAATGAAAATTGGATGGACCTGGAAAGGTTATCGAAATCGACGAGATTGTTGTGAGCAAAAGGTAAAATCTAAGAGAACAGCTCGACCTGTTTGTTAAGCGTACGAGTAAGTTTTATCCAAGAGAGGGACGTGTTTTAGTTTGGAAAGTGCCAGATAAATTACTTTCAAATAAATTTTGAAAGTAAGTACCAATAAATCCGAAAATCGTAAGAGGAATGAATGTAGACTTGTGTTAAGAATGCTGAAAAAGTTTCTAGAATGGAATAGGCTGAAGTTACGAAAGAATCATCCGAACCATGTCTTTTACCAAATAAATCGGAGGAAAGGAATTATCAATATGTCAACGGTGAGTGAAAGTTTTTTTCTTTTCTTTAAATGCCGGTGTATTTAATAGCTGCGATGGCGACCGGAAGTGCCGCCATAGGGACTATCTAAGTAAATTTTTACCAAAAAGTATTAACTCAAAATCTATTTTTGAAAAATTATGAAAAATAAAGTAATGTTTATAAAATGATGATAAAACTTCTGTTTCGCTGTTTAATCTAGACAACTCTGTAAAGGATTTTAATCGTAGTTTGTTAATTTGCAAGGAGATCTATCAAATAAACTATATATTCACGTGTCATCTCAAAATTCAACAAAACTTTGCAGAGATTCGTTTGAACCTTAATTGCATATGTGCAAATTTTGGACCCTATTAAAAAACACCAAAAATCTTTGATTTTAAATATTTTGAGTGGGACTAATTGGATTTAAAAAAAATATTTTTGGTTATTGGTAGTATACATGACTATCATTATTCTGCTTTAATTTCATTTCGATTTCTTTAATCATACCCAACATGGACCACAACGGAGACACGAGTGGTCGGACCCAAGAACAGGACAGCAGGGTTTTCCAACAAAAACTTAGTTAAAATATGCAAGTCAAACAAATAAGATTGATCCAACAAATAAAATTCAATATTTGACACTTCATTAAAATTGGTTTAATTAGAATTATTCACTTATTTTCCAAAGTAACTACTACCTACTTAACGCTTGTATCTATCAATTTTTACCACAATGCTACCTCACCTACAATGTCCCTATTTCTGGTCCGGACCTGGGGAAAAATCCCTAAAGATACTGGGTATAACAATACAGCTATAGAGAATCTAGGTTCAAATCTTATAATTTATTATTAACAATATGTGTATTTTTCATTTTTACCTTTCCGCCATGCGGACACTAAGTGTGTCTTTTAAACAAATCCATCATGAGTTCGGCCGGGCCTACAAGTCCAGGCAGTCGGGTGGTGAAGGACGAGCCCCAACATATTTAAGACTTGAACCCATCCATGAAAAATTCTTGTAGGTTCCTCGCGCAGATTCGATTTCGGATCTCTCAGCAAGGTATCATGACATCTTATAATAGATGTGTATATATATATATTTTTTTTGTTTAAAAACATTTTTGCTCGCATTTTGTATCAATGACTTAATTATATTATGAAAAATATTTAATCGTGCACACGTATCAAACTTTAAGGACTGAAATTTGTACCTGAAGAGAACTGTAGGCAAATATGGCAAGAACTGTATTACTCGATGTCTAACACGGGGTAATACACAAGTTGTAGGATTTTACAAATCAAAGCAATAAAAACAAATCTCTGGTGAGAGACACGTACAGCAGTTAGACATAGATGGAAAATGGATGGGAAGTGCTTACCAATATTCCATACTGACAAGTCTCTCTGCCTGGATATGTCCATCTCTGACTGCCATTCAACATTCACAACGTCGTGGCAGGCTTTTTATAGCTGTCACCGCTAGTAATTGTGTTTATCCTTAGGTTTTGGAGGCGTGTGTAACTGTGTATAAAACGGTTTTACGAGATTAAATTATTTACAACATGATTTCAAATTGAACCAGTATTAAACTGGGTATTCTTAATTAAATTTAATTGGCTAATAAGCGTAAAAAGACTGTTTGTAATCGCAATAATTAAAAGCCGTAGTATATTTTATTTGATACTGTATTATGGAATTTAGGTGAGTTGAAAACTTCCGAAATTTTTCGGAGGGATTAAAAAGATCTTAGTGTCTTCAGGGTGGAAGAAGAGAGAAAAATTCAACGTAAACATTTTGAATAATTTTTTCCATCTTTCAGGAGCTAATAAGGCCGTTTTTAATGTTCATAATTGAAGTGGCTGGATGATGATGAACGAATCGTGACATATTCGGATCCATCAATGAAAGCTTCGTAGTCTGATGTAAAAGTGCAGAAGAGCGACACGCTAAGTCCTTAACTCCCTGGACCACCCGGTTCGTAAATATTTTGTATTAAAATAGTTTTATTTATTATGTGTAATTCCATAAACAACTCGTGATTTCACTTATCTTTATACATATTAAATTAATTAATATCATTTTTCATTAGTCGTTCCTATTTAACGAATATGTAAGAGGGGTATAACAGTACATCCCAATCTCCTTAGTTTCCACTTTTGCTCTCGTTATTATACAACACACAAACCATATGTACTTTTCTCTTTTAAGGAGAAGTACACAGGATTCTGTGTTGTATCTGTTTCCTAAAAAGAAAAATTGAAGGATTGCAGATTTGAATTGATTGCAAAGGTAAAATCTGCAGCGAATCTCTTTTAATTTGAAATTAGAGAATGAACGGATTTACAGAATTAAATGAATGAAATTTGGAAATGAAAAATAAGTAACCAATAGAGTAAGTTACGGACTGCTATTTGAAATTTTAGTTACAACATTTTGATCATTGAAGTATTAAAACCACACATAATATATTAATTATACCGAAAGTTTTATATTTTTATTTCAATTAAAGCTAAATATACAAGCCTTGCACGAGACATTTCTGGGATACCCTACATATTCATAAATCACATTTCCGCATGGCTCTGTAAGATAACTGTGACGACCGAAATCATCTACTATTTCCCGGATACTTTAAGTTATGGAAATGGTTTTTGTCAGTTACTATCACTAAGCAGTTTTGGAAACTTATAAATCACCAATGTTCTCATTTGTTTTTACGAAAATCAAGCAAGGACAGGACGAACTATATTTTTCGTACAACGCCGAAAGTAGTATGTCCTCCTTCGGATTATTCTGCCATTTTATATACGAATTTGCGAAATTTCTCTTTTGACATGACGCCGTTGATTTATTAAGCTTACTCTTTATTCGCTTGAAATTATATAAATGATTTTCTAGACTTTATAAGCTAAGATTTTATTATACAGATTTTGACCCTGACTCTTACAGGGCGAGACTTCTATCCCGTTATTAGTACAGTATTTACGATTTTTTTTATAATACACACCCCTACCCTCAAAATGAAGCTTTTTGCCATTTTATAATAGTTTTTTCCTTAAAAGATCTTAACAGATGATGCCACACACGCACTTTTAAATTTTGCCGGGAAAGTTAAGTAACTCGCGGCTGGATTTTTTACAAATACTAAATTTCGCAACATATTTTCTTCGATCATATTTTTCATTAAATCACTGGTAATTGCCGAAAAGTTAGGCCTTGTACAATTACTCTGCTTTTGTTGATAAAATTGTGGCATATAGCGACTACTACAATCCAGGACTGTCAAATTCATGGAATCTAGCGAGGAGCTGACAAACAAGATCGGAATGGAAATCATGAAATAAACATGTCCTATAAGTTATAACCATAACGTAATGGCCATTTTCAAGAGTTTGAGAAAAATCCCTATGCGCTGTCGGTCAGAATGCACCTGAACTAAATTTTAGTAAATTTAAATTTTTCCGCCTTTCCATTAAAAAACTAAAAATAAGGAAAGACAATTGCATCATATTTATTTACGTCGTCTTTCTAATTAGTTCAAATAGTGCAAAGCAATTAAGATCGGCAACCTAATTACTTGATGATAATGGCATTATTAGATATAATTTTTCAATCAAAACGTGCCGCTCCTGTGCATATCATCATGGCATGTGCAGAGCGGCTATTATATAAGTTTTTTTAGTCTACAGCGAGGCTAAATTAATATTGCCTCAAACAGGCTAGATTACTTTTATTTTTTAAATAACGAAAAGTTTACTTTATTTCCAGCCAAGAAATCGCTCCAAATTCAGCTCAGATGTTTCAAAATTTTCTCGAGGTAACCCCTCCCTCCGTCGGTGCCTCTCCTCGATAACACTATGCAGTGTTAAAAAGAATTTTTAAGTGGCAAGTTAAAGCCCAGTTACTGCTATAATTATTTTGGCGAAATAATTAAATTGCAGTGCCAAGCTTCCCATAGAATGTTCTTCAGAAAGGACTTTCCCTGTGATCACTTTTATACCCAGAACTTGGTTGTAACAAATGTTTATGAAAAGGAAACTATTTCCCCATTGCTTGTAGCCCCGAATGTGCCACACTGGTAAATTTTCGGTACTATTTTTTCTTTTTAGGAAATCTCTTCCGCGTGCTCTTAAATTTCGTCATTCCAGATTTAATTGCATTATCTTCTATGACAACTTATAAATATTTCTAAAGACAGCATCGCATAGGGGTAGTTAAATTAAGATCACCCGGTATTTTATCTCTATAAAATAAAGAATAAAATTTACTATTGAAATATTACTATTTGGAATTTGTTACGAAAATATGATGTTTGTTAGCAATTAAATTAAATTTTTCTGTGAAACAGCATATTTTTGCTGTTTCAACTAGCCTTCTGCATATAGGCCGTATATTTTCATTAGACATTTTGACACTTAGAGGCTTTTTTCCATGCCAATCTTAGGTTCGGTTACGCCCACAATAGAAGCAGAATGATAGGATAAAGGAAAGCTAATATCTAAATAGACCGGCCACGAACAATTGCTGAGGATTTTCCAGAATGGTCAGGATGATATCTTTATCGTCTCGGCCATCCTGATATCAACATGGTATTATAGGTTTATAATTCAAACAGTATTTCTAGTAATATAACCCGAATTTTTGACACTGATCCTAAGAGGAATATAGTGGTTTGCTTAACGGAATTATTCTAGAAACACTGTTTCTAGAGGCCTCAGCGCTCTGGTGACCTCGAGTTTCTAGACCCAGATCTTTGCCTCCAAAATGTTACATTTTTAAGTTTTAGAAGCGAGCAGTCTTTTGTAACACGCTGGAAACAATGCTTTTACAATGCACACTTATCCATCAAAGATATAGGCTTCTGATTTTGTAAATTTTCTGTATACTTTACAGATATTGAAGCTTATATTTGGTAAGAAATTAGATTAGTTAATTTAGAAATATGTTAAGTATCGGAATGGCTGGCTGATCATTAACACTTTTAGAAGGCTAATGATTACTATTTGTTTCGTATTAAGATACTCACTATTTAAGCAACTACGTACAGTAATACCTTGGTTTTCGTTTACTTCTGTTATTGTCGGTTTCGGTTTTCGTGGATTTTCTCGAAAAAAATTTGTCTGTTTTCGTCGGTTGCATCGGATTTCTTCGGGGTGCCCCGTGACCTCGCTGCTAATTTTGCGAAAATAAAGAGCGACCCACGCGATTTTCTGCTTAGTGTGGCGGTGTTTCTCATCGTGTGAGCATTACCCCGCGTGGTCAAGCGGTTCCATTCCTTGAACACTGGGAGTTCGGTCGTGGTTTCGAGCCTCGCCAGGACGGGCTGGCCACCTGGAGTTTACCGGGTTTTCTCCATGTCTGTAACGCCTGAATAGGAGCCAGTTACCCTTAAAAGACCTTCCGGAAGGCATTATTCCCTGTGTAACGTCCATCAGAAACGCATACAACTACTATTACTTGACAATTACGTCACACTTTACCACTGGGCGATATAGCCTAGAAGCTCATACCCAACTAGCTACTATAGGACAAGACATTAACCCCGCGCGTCTAGCCAAACAATTCCATTGCTTTCTTTTCCTTTTAGTTCCATCATGGGACCAAAGAAAGTTTCCAGAACCAGCAGCCCTTCAAATGCCGTATTAAATGTTCATTTATTCTTTACATTAGTCTTTTATATTAATTTCTTATTGTTTTTAGTATTAAACAATATATTCATTCTCTATCAAATGTGTTTGATATGTTTTAGGAGTGTCTAGAACGAATTAATTGGATTTACATTGATTTATATGGAAATAATTGCCTCGGTTTTCGTCGGTTTCTGATTTCGCCGATTGTTTTCGGACGGATTATCGACGAAAACTGAGGTATTACTGTATATTTTTGTAACTTCTTACTTTTATTTATAACTACCTGTACCCGGCCACGCGTTTCTGTGGCTCAAAATGTATCTATTATAAATGTATAACACTCCCCGCGGGGGGAATTTCGAAAAACCCCTTCTTAGTGTACATTCTTTTGTCGAATCCTATTAAAACGCAATCAAAAACGCCAAAAACTGCATCTAAAATAGTATAATAGAAGCCCAGTTCTTCACAGTAAGCCTTAATTTTGTCCCTCTTCCATGCGGGAAGGAAGAATCTCGACATCTATACAATATAAAAACGCGCGTATTCGAATGCAACGTTGTTTCAAAATTTCAAAGCAATCGGTGAAGAACTTTCGGAGATTTAAGATTTTGAATAAACGAACATTTACATTTTTATTTATATAGATATCTCCACTATGGTATCATTTGCCCAAATTCTTTAACCCATTACGAAAGTGAAACTATAGTAATATGTTTTTGTTTTCTCTTGTGTAATACTGAAGTTTAGTTTTGCTCCAGGATCCTGAAAGGGAAAAAATATGAAAGTGACATTCTTTAGGAGAATTTTAAAGTTATTTATCATATGAAATGAAATTTACAATTCGATAATTTTATCAAAGCCATATGTTGACTTGGTAAAATGTTAACGATATTTTTTATTTACTGTTCTTTGTCTAGAATTTTTTCTATTAGTCGGCTATTGCACTCAGCACAAAAAAAAATGGATCATACGTCACCATGGGAGGATCTCTGGGCTTTGCTATGGAAAATGATTGGAGGATATAGAAGAATTATTTGTGGGAAGAGTGGTCGTCAAAGAATAGTTTACATTTTGGTTGTCTTCCGAAAGGCACGATCTATAATTGATTGAGAAGATAAAAAAATCTGATCTTAAGACTGCTGATTGAATCTGAGAAATTATAGCCAGAAAGTAAGTAATTTTTTTCCTCTCTTCTTCATACAAAAGTTTCGATTGTTAAAGTACCGAAAACCCTTGTTGGAATCCGTCATTTATCATTGAGTTTAAAAGGCCTGAAAATGGCCAAGTGGCTAAAATCTGTGCATATTTTTTGCATCTGAACAACAGGTTGGCCACGCGGAGTTTTTCGGGTTTTCTTCACACGTTCCAACACCTAAATAGTGGCCAGTTTTGTATAAAAGTACTTCCGGGAGGTACCTCTTCCTTGCAGATCGCCCATATGTTGCATTGCCATCAATCCAATTAAATCCGTTGAGTTAAATCAATCAGACATTGCTATTGCAGCTTGTAGATTCTTTTCTGTTTTATAATTAGATTAATTATAAGGGATTTTTAATAAGTTATTTTAGAAACTTAATCACATCGATAAAAATTTCGTTTTGTTAGTTCATATCCCATATCGTGCAAATAACGCTGGATTTTTAGTATATGTTTATGTTTACCTATACAAAAAATAGTTACAAAAATACCGTTTTAGTATGTTTGAAACTGGAATTTTCTTATATATAAATATTTTATAAACTGTTAATTTTTTCCTTCCTATCAGTAATCTTTAAATAAACTTCATCTGATGAGATCGCTCAAAAGCGTTCTGAAAGTAAAAATTCAGACAGTAAAATCTCCGAAACATTTTCTCCTAATACAAAAACTGCCCTGAAAAATTTCGGAAATTTTTGACAAGAGATTCAGGAGTTAAGCTTGAAAGTGGGTGAAAAAAATCGTGCCCTTCCACAGACACACATTAACATCAATATATGCAGAAATAACCTCCAACTTTTTTGCATTTATCGACAAAATGCACGACTCTGAGTACAAAAATGCTAAAATCTTGGCTCATTTTTGACCGATCGCCATACTTTCCCTCTTATATATAATAGCTGAGAAAGTAAAAAATTAAGACACGTTGGTTACTTCCTAGTCATAATGATATGGAGGAAATCATACAGTGAACCGAGTTTTATAAACATTATTGGGCTGCAATTTGAAAAAATTATAACCTATAAATTCTCCACTGTTGTCCGTCCTTCTGTCTGTCCTTCCTTAATCTCGAGAACAGAGTTAGATAGATGAAAGCTGAGACCAGACGTGGAAAGATTAGGGATGAGAATTCCCGATTAACTGTAAACGAACTTCCGATGCGAACCGGAAGTCACGTTATTTTAATTCAAATATTTTCACTTGAAAGATGTTAGATAACCGGCACGACTCTGTTACTAACGGGGAAAGTATGATATACAGGAGCAAGATGCTAATTCGAGGTGGAGCAAATATATTTTAAATTAAATGGAAAAAAAAATATGATTAAAAATTGCATTGTGACGATGTCACAATAAATAATTTCAATTAAATAACTATTTATAACAGTTGTGGATGAATAGTTTATCGGTTAAAAAAAAAATTAATATTGTTTGCTGAACGCATAACCAAGCTAAACAATGGTATTCGGTACAAAGAATTTCGTAGATGACTCATGCCTAATGTTCTAATAGGATACACATTGTGTATCTTATGAGAAAATATTACATAAAAGATATCGAATAGCATGTTACGTTATTCGATTTGGTCTCATACTTCTCAAGAATTTGCCTACTAATGGCAGAGTGGATAAAATCATGGTGTTATTAGATAAACTGGTTGGGGAACGGAGCAGGAATGTTCTGCCTAGAGCCACTTTTGCTCACTAGAAGCGCTGCGGTCAGGATTCAGACTAAAAGTGGGTCGAATATATACAAAACGTATATAAAATTGATGATGTAACTCGACTTCTAAATATAAATTAAGACATTTTCGAATATAATTAAATTGAGAAAAGGGAAGTCTTCAAAATTGCGAGGCTACGCTTCCGAATAAACGACAAAAACTTGTGTCTAATACGATCTGTTAGAACATTGTTAGAATTTATACTGATGGCATAGAAATAAAAAAAACACAGAAAATAATCTTTAAAAAGAAAAATAATATCTTTAACTGATAGAAATGGATAAAAAAAAAAGTAAAAGTTAGAAATGATTTTTTAAAAAATAAAACTGTTAATGTTTTGAACAACAACAGTTAAATGCATAAATATAGCATGTACAGGTAACCCCCGTATAACACGGCACTTCTATAGCACGGATTCGCTCTAACACGGTTCGAGAATTGGTACCATCCCCCGTATAACACGGTACTTTTATAGCACGGATTCACTCTGACACGGTTCGAGAATTGGGTAAAACCCTCGTACAACATGAAATGTAATAAATTTTTACATACTTAAGTACTAATAGTTCANTGTATTACAAAAAAACTCGAAAAATAAAACTGAAATGAATAAATACGATACAAAAAGTCATTTAAAAAAGTACTCACGTGCTATAAACACAAGGTCTGACACGATACCGTAATGCATCTTGGCAGTCGCCATATTGGGTCCTTTGAGATTCTGTGTACAGTGTTTTCTAGAGCGAATTTAGTTATTGATTTTTTTTTCGATCTCGATTAGTCGAATTTCTTGTTATCTATTTTTTTAAATGGTTTGGTATTCAGCACCGAATTGTAAAAATTCGTCAGCCAAAGTTATAAGGTTGTTCTGTTTTCCCACTGACAGTTCCAGGAGAATGATGATTTAAGAGTTATTAGAAGTAATGGTTTATTAATGATTATAAACAGAGGAATCAGATTTATTAGAATTGAATAATAATAAATTTTCATCGTAAATAATTGAAGAAATGCTGCTTTAAATATTTTTTGTCCCAAGGTGACAATTTATAGTTTGATAATGTACTCAACTTTCTTAATGTACATTAAGAAAAAAATATGATCTGCTTACATTTAAAAAGCTTTTTTAAACAAATGTTTTTAGGACATTTAAATCTGAAAAAGCAATGTTTAAACTATTTATCAGAGGAACCACATAATACTTCGTATTATCATACGAAATATTCACTAATCAATTATTTTTCAAAAACATCTCATTTATATTAATTAAATTATTATTATTTATTTATTTGCACTAAAATCGATTAACAGGAAATTTATGATAAAAACAGCAACGATATTCAATATTATTCCTATTCATCACAAATTCTCTATCTGTTTACTGTTTATACCTCTAACAGGAATTTTTTAATGCATATAAATATTTAATGGATTTTCTACGTAAATGAAGTTATTGAATAGTAAGTGAAATCGAATTCTTTTTTTAAATTTTAATTTCCGTTTTTAGTTCATTTATTTACACACTTGAATGCCTGCAAATTTACTTAAAAGTAACTTCTACCAAAGTTTGTCTTAAGCCAAAAATTGAGCTGATTCAATAGAATATATTTAACTTATGGTTCTCCAATAGTGTTATTTGTTGAAACAGTAGTCCCTCTTTATATCGCTTTCAAAGATAAAAGCGCTTTACCCAATACGTCAATTATATCGCCATCTGATATATCGGTTCGTCTCCCTATATGCGCGATATAACGAGGGGTAGTTGATTATATCGAGTATGTAATATAATTATACTGTATAACGAGTTGAAAATATGCTGTCACAGACGTAACGAGAAACGGGTCTAGCAGAGAAATTTACGAAACGATAAGTAAAAGAACTGCAAGAATATTAAAGTAAATATCGCATCACAATTTATTTAGAAGTCAAATATCAAATTTAAAAAATAAATATTCAAATTTTGTTACCCCATATGTCATTAAGAATGTGTCAAAATTAGGAAAATATTTCGATGATATTTTACAAGTAAACATATTTTGAAATCTAGAATATATCAGTAACTAGAAGGACTTCATCCCACAATATACAGTGTTTTATCTACGCCTATAATCTATTCATTGGTGTTGGAATAGCTAACGATACCCGTTTTAATATGTAAGGTTATTCACTCGGGACTGCAAATATTTCCATAAAAATCTACTCTTTTTTAAATCTTTCTTTCCTGTGAAACTGTTACAGACATTACTTGGAATGGCGAATACTCTTTAAACGGAACTGAAAACAACCGGGCACAAAAACTGCGTCCAGTTTAAAGAGGTGTCCTTAAATACACACTTGATTACGTATTGTCATACCTTTTTAACAGTTCAATTTAGAGAGGTATCCGGGATAAGAGTGTTTAACTTGTCAGGTTTTACTCTATATGACATTTTACTTTTAGTTTGATAGAACATACCGAATTTGCATCACAATTCAATTCTATAGTTTCGATGTACTCAATACAGATTGGGTCGGAACTTCGTTACATGGCCAAGACCCCGTTTAAAAAGTGTTTCACTTTACATTTTCTCTTCGATTATATAATCGGATAATTTGTTATTAAATAATTGTGTAATGTGTCCCGATATTATACTGTAATTTTCTTTACCGGAAATGAAGTAATTTATGTATTATATAGGATTACACGTTTACTTATAACTCAATATAATTTTATAATAATTCTGTAGTTGCCATACTTCGTGTGTTATAAAAACTCGGTTTGCATTTACAGGACCGTGTATCAGATTGACACTGCTAAGAGTTAATGGTATGATTTTTAAACTATCCTCTTTCAAAACATCTTTTTATATAACTTTAGATATTTCAAAAGGATTATTTTTATTGCCGTGCTATGTGAGCATGATTTTAATAAGATTACTTTGATTTTTCTATTTCTTCTTGACCAATACCTTCCGAGTAAATTATTTAGAGAAGGAAGAATTCTATAAATGAATGAATCCTCGAGCACCTATCACGATATAATTTAATAAAACAGGAACAGACAATATTCAAGTTGGAAAATGGGAGATAAACATACCCTACTGTCTTCTATTCGATTCTCGAGGACTTTACGAAATAAATATTAGAAATTATCATAATATTAATAACCCTACACCTGATAGCTACCCGATAAAAATCCGTCTACACACACATTAAAGGATACAGAAAAGAAAGAATATGCCATACAAAATTTTTTACTATCTGACATACCCGGCTTCTCTCGGAAAACACCCAGAAGGGGGTGCAGCTGCGTCCTAGGTATCCCCAAATCTGCCCTTGTACAGTGTTACGTCAGTTTTGCTCAACAGTGAATAAGTGGTAGAACCATTAAACACAGGTCATGGTTCTCTCCTGATCTCCTGTTTGGAAGATCACATTGTTGCGTTGCATCAAACCAAACGTTACGTTTTAATTGTTACTAGTACTCTGAATAAGTAAACCTACCGAAAAGAATTCATTTTTATGCTAGGATCTTGCTTTGTTTTGTTACTTAATATCATCATTTAGATTCTGAGAATCGTTACTTTTCCCATTATAATAAATTAAAAAAAAAAAAAAAACATTTAGACTATTCATAAACTGCATCCTTCACATTTACTTTTATCATCAGGTTGAGGTTTAATGTGGAGTGGCAATGATTGACAAATAAATATCGTTGTAAAAAATCAATCCAAGCAAAACACTATGAAACATAATGCCGATATTCAGCTTTGTAACTATGTCAAGATCAAACGATTTTTTAAGATTATAATTACTGATAAATCTAATAGAAGAAGATGGGAACTGCATCTCAAAGTAACTGTTTACATCACTAATTTTTGTCGATTAGAATCTGAAACGTGTACTAAATTCGGGACCGTTTATGCACTTTCGAGGCCCCCCACGCAATTTCTTTAGTGGTATTATATAGATACACAGACAGTAATAAGACATAGTGTAAGGCGAGAACGGGTGTGTCCACGCATTAATGCGTTTCTAGATAAATTTCGTGTACTTTAATTAATCTAAATAATTGTTTGAATCGGCTTCCACGTAGTATTTAAATCTAGCTAAAATATTTCTGGACATATCTTCTGCCCATATTTAACCCTATAAGTTTTCAGCTGCCCTTATAAAAAAATCAGTCTATCAGTGACCGGTGGATAAAGCCATTAAACATCGTTGGCCGGTCGCGGGTTCGCGCCTCACCAGCGTGGATTTTCTTCATGTCTAATTGTAATCAAGGCAATTTAATTTAAACCAAAATACCATTTTTTTAAAATCTGTTTTAACTTTGTTTACAGGAATGCTTCCCGATGCTAATTAATAAATGTTTATTACCATTCAGTAAACATTAATCCACTTAAACAAGGCTATGACGTCACGAAAGGTTAAATCTATTAAGCAATGACGCTAACCCCTTTTATTTATACATGATCTAATTCTATTCAAGTGGGCTTACTCCCGCTCCGTTCTTTGCCATCACATGGTGGAAGTAATTAACTACTCTATCATACATTAATAATAAAATATATTCTCGATTATCCGGGACACTTAATTAAAAATAATGCCCCCAAAATGAAGAGACGATCGTTTAAAACATTGGACGTAACAGTACACACCAAGCATTGTTATATGGAGGTCAGCAGAACCTTAGGGAAAGCCAAGTGACCAAACCTCTCCCGATCTCTGAAAGGCCCTAATAGAATATATAATCTATTGATATATAGTGTTTTTTTTTTATTTTTAAATATTTTATATGATTATACGGGATCTTCTACATTATCCGGGATTCCGGATAATCAATAAGCGACAAGTTTGTCATGGCATTATTCAGTAAATGTACTAAAAATAATTATGTTCCCGATTACTAGATGGCAGCATTTTCTCATAAAATATATTTAAAAAAATATATAATTTATTCAAATATTATTTCCAAGTAATATTTAAAAATGCGATTTTAACGGTTTTAATTTCATTTAAATAATTTTTGAACAGAGATTTAAATTTATTTAAAACTTGAACGCGATTAAAGCATGCGAGAATAACGTAATAATTTGAATTAACAAGTTATTTCTTTTTCATTTCCAGCACTTAACGCGAATTTAGAAAAATTCTTCAACTTTAATGAGCGACACGCAGCACAGCAAAACACAAAGAAGCGAAGGGTGAGTCGAAATTATTTTCCCTTTATTAATATAATTTTATCTTCGTTACTTCGCATTAAATGTATTAAGAAACAAGAAAATAATCTTGCCAATGGGTCGTAATACGAATTGACATTATGTCACGTGAGGTCGTGTCGAAATTTTCGGTACTAAAAATTTGCTAAATCATTCGTTGGTCCCCCTCACCGGAGCGATTTAAATCATAATTCTCTTCCGTTTATGCAATATTCTTCTTGTTTTTTAAACCAATATCTTCGTATGTGGACCCAAAATTTTGGATATTTACGTAATTCATTCTCCTGCGTGCCATGGGTGTAAATTCTGTAAGTGTATACATATTCATATAATATACTTTTTAGTTTTCCTAGTGATAGTCTACAAGTATTATATATAAACATTTTTTTCTGTTACTTTTTAATGTATTTTAATTAATAATTAATTATATTTGTTTACTATAAGCACACGAATCGGCGTAAATCATATTCTAAATTAAATACTCGAATCCAAAAAAAGAACCGAAGTCGATGGCCATCCCGACAACATTGAAACAATTAAAGAATTCTTCCCGCAGATGGCACTGTACTACTATTGAAAGTAAGCCAACGGGGTCCAGAACGTGCTATGCACGTGATTTTTCAAATTTTAAAATAAATCTATTATTAAAAAAAAAAAAAAAACAAAGTTTTCCAAACTAGCTTAAGCCATTACTGCTTCAATGAACGTCATGTTTGCAGTATGAGATGCGAATCGGAGTATAATCCGCACATACCGTTCGATGGCTTTTTTTTTTACCATACTTATTAATTTCGTGCATTCTGATATTTCGTTTTCTAATTTTTCTCGCATTTTTTGGATGGTAACAGTCACCGTTGCTTCAAAAATAAAAATTTCCCCGTCAGGCTTTGAGTTTGGTCGAACCAATGGTGCACTAATTCGAACCTTACTGGTTCACAATGCGTTACTCCGTAACCAGGTAGGTCTGCACATCACTTGCTTGACGTCTGTAAACCGTTTTAAGTGTCCTTTAACTCGTCTGTTGCAATACATCACGCCTATTGCTATAGGTGAGTTATCTTAGTTATACCCTCTATTTATAACAGTAAAGTGACCAGTAATTTTAAACGGCCTCGACACACAGTACGAAAGTTAAAAAACAAAACATAAAAAAGCTTTAAATTTTTTGGCTATGTCAGCCAAAATGAGACCGTGGCCAAAATTCCCACGAAATCGCGCGCTTACTTTACAACTTTTTAACTTTGACCCATTTGCGATTAATTCGGTGCCGTCGTTAGTTTTGACTATCAGCAATAAAAATTTCCCTAGTTTACTCCAGTTTTATGGCAGAATTTCTAACTCCTCTTCCATAAATCTTAGTTTTTTGGCTCCGCTCCAAAATAAATATATACAATACCAAGTATAAATGCGGTTAGATTCGATTCATGATTTATATTGCAGAAATTATCTCCTATCTGTATCATTCTCCTTCTGACAAGTCAAGTTCAAGTAGATAATGATGTTTATTCTTAACGCTGATTTTTCTTTCTTTTTTTTTTCTTTTTTCTTTCGAAATACAGCTTTATCACAGTTAGAAACCTCGCTTAAATAGAATGATGAATATTAATCGACGGAACTTACCTCCCCACCGATTATAAATCAATTTATTTAATCATTCGTTAATTGTCGTGGAGTGAAATTAAAGAATCGCATTGTTTTTCTATTACAGTAAAAACCTGTGTAAATCGGAATCCGCACGGTTTTCCCAGTTTGGCAAATTTCCGTTTCGAACGGGTTTCTTTTTAATCGATTCATACCGAAGAATTTTTTCTACTTAGGCAGGTTTCCGTTTTATTGAGGTTCCGTTTTGGACAGGTTGTACTGTATAGAAGCTGCTTTTTTGTGCGCTTTGAGAAAGATGATGAATATTTTTGGTTATAAGGTAGGCCTACTAGAAATATTTAGATTTTCATGCCCTTTAGCTGATGAGTGCACAAGACGATGAATAATTCCGAATTTAAGTTACCAACAGAATGAGTTAGCATTAATGTAAAATTCACGAAATAAGAAATATTTTAATCTTTCACGCAATCTCGTAAAGTAAAAATAGAAATAATAATAATAATTATTATTATTAGCGATAACGTGGGATGAAGATGACACTCGGGAATAATAATAATAATAATAATTATTATTATTATTTCTATTTTTACTTTACGAGATTGCGTGAAAGATTAAAATATTTCTTATTTCGTGAATTTTACATTAATGCTAACTCATTCTGTTGGTAACTTAAATTCGGAATTATTCATCGTCTTGTGCACTCATCAGCTAAAGGNATTATTATAATCCCGAGTGTCATCTTCATCCTACGTTATCGCTTCCATAAATACTCGCATCCAACTCTGAACAGAAACTTAAATCGATGTCAAAAAATAACGTAAAGTATTTTTTTAATAGGCTAAAAACAGAAATTTCTATTTATAACTACAAAAAAATTATCGATTTAAAACTGAAAGCAAGCAATGACTCATCCAATAATAATCTTCGTTTCAGTTTCAAACTAGCGAATAAAACGTTTCGTCACTTTCCCAGTACCGAACAATACCTTTCTATTTTTAAATACTTTACTAGTCAATAATATTTATATCCGTATCAGCTTCCTATTTATTATATTTGTTATCGAATGAATGAAAGTTTAGGCTGTTCTACTGATAATTGCATATATTTTTATTAATAAGTTAAAATTCTTTGTGCTCCTCCTCCCTAAATCGCTCTTTCTTGTCCTCTCGTGAAAGTTTTGCATCGAAAAAAGTAAATAATATTGACACTATTTTATAGGACGTATGTAAAGATAAACTTTATTATTACGAAAGCAGTTTAGATAAGTATAAACAGTTCGCAACTCGTCGTTGTATTAAATACACTAGCGTTAGTCAATAAAAATTACAATTATTCATTTAATATTCTCATTAGCGTAACTGGGGATGGATCAAAACCCCCTTACCTTTGTAAATAAATAAGTACAGGAACAAGATTTGAACGAGGCAAATTTACTTGAACACGTGTCTAACACTTATGTTAACGCAAGTTTACACTTCATCTAGTGTTACTGGGGTGAAGTTAGGTTCTAATCCGGGCTCTCTTAATATCGTTACTAAATATTTTTCTAATGATCTTTTCCTACTTACAGCCAAAATTTCTGTGATAAATTTCTCACACCAAACTATTGCCTTTTTTTAATTAATCGAACGCAGGCTTAACTAATTGTTTAGCTTTCTGTTGATCATAATAGTCCATCTTTTTAAATAAGTTATTTATTGTGAGAACTTTAATTTTCTTAATTAGCCTTCGCATAATTGATGATTTTCTATTGAGTGTGACGTTTTAGGAAACTAATAAACTAAGTATTGTTTCTTACCTGACTTTCCTACTTATAACACTAGCCAACTTACCTCTTTACTGAAATTCCTTTAAGGTTTGCAATTAGAACCTTATGTTACTCAATAAATTTATTATTTTTTTTCTATTAAACAAAAGTTTGTTTTAAACACAGAATGAATCCGACATACCGTCTAGTCTATAAATTTCCAAAATACATTTTGAGTTTATCTGAATTGTTAAGTAACCAACCAAATACAAGCGAACATCTGTTTAATGCTACTCCTTGTTTGCCTACGAAGTTGGCATTAAATTGAAGTATCTCAAACAATAAGAACTATATATACACAAGTTTGAAAGAATTTCCAATTATGTATCACATATCACGTGATACTTCACACATTATTGGAATTATGCTGTGTAAAGCAATGAAAAATGTTACTTAACTAATCGTTTACCTTAAGTATGATCCATATTTGCCTCAACAAACAAATTTTGCCCTGTTTCTTTAACTAATTATTTATGAAATGTTCTTATTTCTTCTTCTGTCGCTTATAAAATCTTTCTTAAACTTACCTTGCAGAACATTTTAACAATCCAACTTATAAATTTAAAATTTTCTTATTCACTTATGGTTAACAAGAATCAAACAAATATGTTGTTCTTGTTAACACTGTACTTTATATCAAGTCTACTTACAAATTTGAACGATCAGTTAATAAAAACCCTTTCGACTAGTCGTCATTGAATAACTATTACAGGAAAAAATATATATATATTAAAAAATACCAGTTTAAACGGGTTTAAACTGAAAAAGAAAATAGTATTATCTCCGTCGTTGTCGATTCTCTTAAATCTTACTTTACAACAGCCGTAAATCAGTTGTTCTCTCGTTTTCTCTTAAATTATGTCTATCTTAAAACCTCTTGGTTGTGTAAGAGTCGATACTCGACCTTGATGAGAGCTTGGTAACAACCGAGATAAACAGTACTTTTGTCAATAGAAATTACTCTAACAATAATTTCAATTAATTTAAATCTGGCGAACAGACATTCCGACGGAAAGCAGGAGGAAAAATTACAATTCTGTAGAAATCCGAGAAATAATAAATACAATTAGATTTTCTTGCAACCGACAGACATTCCAACGCTTTTTTTTTTCCTTTTTACTTTATATTTTGATGTGCAATTTTAAGAATTATGAAATGCGGCAAATGCTGTGTACACCTGTTTCATAATTGAATTTCGATTTGTTCGACTGGAAAATTCTTGTATTGTATAACGCAGTAGGCCGAATTTTAAATAACTTTATGCAATTGTTACTTAATATAAAACCCATAAAGAGAAAATTTACTTAGAAAATACATTTTAGCAATTATTTTTTAATTTAATTTTTAGATTTATCAGGTATTTTCCACAAAAGACGTTCGAAAATTGTTTACTAAAGCTTTAGAACGATTGAATTAAGATGTATCTGGTGTATTCTCGTGTTGATAAAGTAAAAATCTGTACACAAAAGCAGGAGATTTCAACCTCCTAACTCAATTAAAACATACAAATTAGATGTTGAACAGTTATTTTGTGAATATTTTTGTGATTTTTAAGCTCTATTTTCAATAGTTTCGTTAATTATTCAAATATTACTATTTTTCCACAAAAACTGCTACTAAATTTAAGTTTCAGTGTCTGGTTTGATGCAAAAGGCGATAAAAACTAAAAGAATGTGAATTTTATGAGCTCTTATCGCATTAAATATACTTAATCTTTCTTAGAAATATATCTTTGAAAATGCTACCACACCATTGAGTTAAACAATACAACATAATTTCGTTAATAAATGTTGGATTCTTAACAATTTACGACTTTAAAAAAATTCTAGAGTTTTATTTCAGCAAAAATAACTGGAAATATGCCGTAAAAATCTACCAAAAAAAAGAAAAAAAAATTAAAAAACGTTTCCGTCTCCACACAAGAGTCAGAACCAAAAATTCTTTATTTCTTCGTTTCAAGGGTTATATCGAATTAAATTAAAAAGAAAAAATATCGGACAGTACTTGATATAATCTGTCAAAAGTCACAAAAAACGCCTTGTTAGATTCAATTAACATGGCAAATAAGAGCGTCCTTCTCCGGCTCGACCACAAACAGGTCCAAGGACTCGAAGAGTACATGGACCCACTCCACGTCTCTATCCTGACCGAATGCCATCAAAGAGGAACGTGTAATGGCCGCCACAAACACTCCGGATTACCTTTATAAAGCGGGGCATTCTTGCAGTTGGAGCCTTTCTCACTCATGGACGTGCTTCATCTGTCGGCAGGACATCTTCGGTGTCAATGTATTCGATCCTATCTATATTTATATAAGAGGCGATATAGAGGTAAAATGACCTCGTGCACTCTGAACTCGTCCTCTCTAGCCCGTGACGTCAACACGATTCTTTCCATCCTGCCCAGCCATTGAGTTCAGGTAGAGTGGCCCGGAACGGTTAAGGGAACCCGTGCTCTCCATGGCATCACCGAATTGGACGGTCCGGCCCTGGATCCGTTGACGTCACCCGCATTCAAACCGGATGATACATTAGTCTTCGTTTGTCCTTCATCTTTCCACTAGTTGTAAGTGTTTTCCCTCTTTCTTAGTTAGATTTGGCTGCACTTTCCACCCGCTTCATGCTACGGATGCCGAAAAATTTTGCCAATCTTTCCCACTGCTGAACCCCCAAGAAGTAAGTTTGCTTCTTTAATTTCTCTTGAAATTTTGGGTTTAACGCGGGAGGAAACTTTACAGCTACCAAAATCTTAATTATAAATTCGTTTAAAGCGGGAGGGGCAAGTTCTGACTACACTCGACCGGTGCGGAAATTTACCAGATTAGCCATTTTACGGAAAAAAATCGGGTACCTCGAGTAAGAAAAAGCACAAAAATTCAGCAGATGACCTTCCGATAAAGAGGATAAATCTAAAGAAATTTATGTTAATTGGGATACAAAGAGGATAATTTTCGAGTAAGTAATTCCTTCCTGTCTTTTTTCTCCAAGCAATAAACAAAAAATAAAAATAAAAAAACATTATGTGAGAAACGTTCGACTTTAACCTTGCTTAAAGGTTGGATGTAGTTTTCGAAAAGAAGAGCACAAAGAAGAGTTTGCTACATAATCGCTTGATCGATATATATATAAATACGGCAAATAGCGGTGATGAAAATGATCAGATAAGTAATATGACCTCCCTGTACCTCATGCATTTTACGTTAGATAAACGAATTCCGTCCGAAGGAAAGGAAAAAAAAATTCTTAAGCCACACTCAAATAGCAGGAAGGACGAGTGAATTTTTTGTGGCACTCCCTTCCTCCATTGAACGTCGAGGACGTTTGAACCGTAATGGATCCCGATAAGAAAACTCGGTGGAAAAATACCAAAAAAGAATTAGCGCCGTGCCGGATAATTTCTTAAGTATATAGCTAAAGTCTTGTTTATAAAAGGAAGAAAAAATAAGTCGCGACCCAAAAGATAAACTTCCATATGCTACTTTTCTGAGATACCAAGAGATTGATTTTCCTAACCCGGTGCCACCATTGAAGACCAATTAAGTGCTCTATCAAACGCACCGTAATTTTAACTTCAGATAGATTATTTCGTACAGTAAAATGGCCATAAAAAATCTGAATTGACACTTCTGAAAATTAGCTTCTGTTCGATTCCTCTTGATGTAAAACGATAACCAATGATGATAGACGAGTCGCGTTTTTCGTGGTTCCATCGTAAAATATGCAGATTGTACTACTTTATTGTGATTCTAGTTAAAACGAAGCTCTGTTTACTGTGTTGGTATTGTCGCAGTTTGTATTTACGTAACACGGGATCGGGAACTTAGCTTAAGTTTCCTTGGGAGCGCACGAAATTAGCAGCTTTGTTTATACTCCGTCTATTTATTGCAGTTAACAGCTTTTACTCGGCTTAGATAAAATTGATAAAATAGCTGGTTAGTACAATAATTTCGCGTCATTATTTAATCGTGTGACAACGTAGATTTGCACTAGAGCTAAAAACTGAAGAGAACTCGCTAATTTAAAATGGAATTAGCACCAAAAACTCGACACGTGCGTTTAATTCTAAACCACGACAATTGCGTAACTTGACTGATATTCGGGGCATTAACGCATTAAACAAAATAGTTTAATGATAATTTTAATCATTTATCCAAAATATTAAGTACTGTATATAGTAACTGTATACAAAAAAAAATAGTTTAGAACAACTGTTAGTAAATATTAGCAATAGCAAATTGTCAGTCGGTATAAAAATACGAGAAAAATACTTTACCACATCTTTTAAAATTTACTTCGATATTTTTATATGGATTAACAATAAATTGCTTCATACAAACGAAAATTATGTAATAAGTAGATATTACTGCTAGCTATTTAACTGCTTGCGTGGCAAATGACACCTTAATCTCCGTTTACTTAGTATCTAAACGGCAAGGAAATACAAAAACAGAAAGGGAAAAAAATCGTTTTATCTTTAACGAATCTATAAATATGACAATTTCTTTAGTAATTCTGTTAAATTTCGTTAATTCGTTTTCGTATACGAGTAAAAAAATCATTGCAGACAAAATATCATTCTTACTCGCTACTACTGCAGCCTTGGTATTTTCTGTAATACTGCAAATTACATTTGCAATAAGAGAATATTGTGTTAGCGTATATTTAATTAGAAGCGCGTCTATAATAGTTATCATAATACTTTATTAAACAACAGCTGTTATCACAGATCGTCTACGTTAATGTTTAAACGCGTCCTAGTATTTACACGTACCCCTTTCTAAATCAACAATACTTTTTGTTTTTTAAACAAATGCTCCTACTGACCACCTGAGTTTGTACTATCCATACTTATACAGGGTGTTTATACACTTATATGGAGAAGGGGTCGTACTTTGAGGATTTGCAACGTACTGCACTACATTGCAAATTCGACAAGTTACTTCCATATTGTTAACATTTTTTGAAGCACCCTGTATATTGCAAAACTGAAAATTCGATGTAAAATGCTTGTAGTCTTCACGCTCACTTACTACAAAGTAAACGAGCACGAGATAAACATCTCTTATTACTGTTAAGTACTATCTTAGGAATACAGTTAACAGATTTAAAAAAATAATTTAAATCTTCGGCCTCAACCTCGCTAATTGTAACATTTCGAAGACGGCTACAATAATAAATATTTCGAATTTCCCTTTAATATTGAGGTGATCCGTAAATTACGTAACGTTGTTTTTATACTTTTCAACACCATGCCATTCCCTACAAAGCTACTCGGAAATTACGTAATCGTATCCTCGATCGATCCTCTTAATTGTACTAAGGAATAATGCCCAGCACGGGGTACCGAACGTATAATTTTATTGTATGACGCGAAAAAAACAGTAATATAAACAGTACGGTTCGCTAGCAACACTTCGGAAGCAAAACTGGAATCATTCTGCTACCTACCCAGGGTTGAGACGTAACGTTTTTGTACACACGCTCACCCTTGTAACGATTGCCCGAATACCCACCCACATATTTGCATTACATAATTTATGGACTCGGCTTAAAGCGAATCGTTAATACCCCTTTAAAGTGAATCAATAGTGATTCATTTCTTTCCTTACGATGCTTAATGTACGAATCTGTAACTCAACCTGGAGCCTTATTTGAAGGAAAATTCCTACGAAGGAATTTTTCTCTGATATTTTAGCAAGAGGGGTTCAACAAACGTAACGATTTCGATTTTGTAAAGTCGAAAAACACGCAACGCGAAATTTCGTTAGACTCGCTAACACCCGGCTATAACATAACAACAACAACTTTACATAAGAATACGAATCGAATAAATATATTATTTATGCGCACATTTTTGCAATATTTAATACATATTTTTGCGAAACTGTGCAATAAATCAGGAGTAAAATGTGATTAGGATCCCACACGAAAGAAATACGAGAATTACACGACCCGCTGTGACTAAACGGTGGCTAGGAGAATATCTCCTAAAATTTGTTAATCCGACTTGTCATTTTGATATTGATAATGAATGCTTTATCAGGGATATTCCGCTTTATCAGGGATATTCCACTTTATCAGCTAATATCACGCCGGTTAGTGCGTTACAAATGACTATATAAAGTATTGTTCTCTTTGCAGTGACAATTAGGACCATACGAATATCCAAAATATGGCATCACTAGACAAGATGGAATCCAAGTCGTCCACCACGGCCGAAAAACCCACAGGTAAGTCCAGCTTTTTTGAAAATTAATCGGGATATCGCGGCACGGTCTGATAAAAACATTTCTTGTGTATCAAGAAAAATCACGTTTCTTGTTAGATTTAATTATCTAAGAAACAGAATACAAATTTCTAACCATCCTCTGTATTTTCGATATACTGCAGGCCTCAGAAAATTAAGCTTCTGAGCCCTTCTCGACCTCCTAGAGGTCCCGCTATACTAGAATAACTAGCCTTAAATTTCGCCATATTTTAATCAAGTGTCGACAATTTTATTTAATACAGTAGTTGAAATTCTTACTAAATAATTTCGATTTTAAAAAGTTGGGATCTGGGAAAGTGAAAAAAAAAAAAAATAGTCAAGGTCGATTCACACGGAGCGCCAACACTACGAGAACATTGCGTCATCGATAATCTACCAATCGTATTGTCTATATCCCTGTCTGACCAATCATACGTCGAATCCTACGATCGCTTCTGCAACAGATTGTTATAAACCAAATTTAACGTGTTTGTTTTTATTCTGTTATTCGAAATGCGGAGATCGATTACACATAACGCGTTTATTACGAGAGGTACGTTTAGGTTCTCGACTGCTTCTAGAACAAGACACACAGAATAATCCCTCTCCAACACCATAAATTGTACGAATTATTCATAATCTAAAAAAATAAGCCAGAAATTTGGGATCTACTTGAAGCAGTTGAAGGTGAATACCCATGTAAAACTTAGAGTATACATCAAGTCGTTTCTACTTTCAGAATGGATCCCCACCAGATACGTGCTGACATTTTTAACCTTCTGGAGTCTGTGCCTGCTCTACACTCATAGAGTCGTTCTCAACTTAGCCATTGTGGCTATGGTCAATTTAACCGCTTTGGAATCTCACGAAGTTAACACTACCCTATCGGACGAATGTCCGGATACGCTAGCTTACGAAAATACAACCTATAGGTATCGAGAGGTAAGCCAATCGCGTGATGACCTTTATAAATTTCGTCAGCCAAGATTTGGTACAATATTTTGCTGATTTTTTTCCAGGGATATTTCATGTGGAGTCCCTCCGTTCAGGGTATTATCTTGGGAGCTTATTACTATGGCTTCATTACTACGCAACTGTTGGGAGGGTGGCTTACCGACATGATAGGGGCCAAGAGAATTTTCGCGGGTTCACTTCTGCTGTCGTCGCTAACAGTTTTGGCCACACCGTTCGGTGCCAACATGGGTATTCCCGTCATTACTTCGTTGAGAGTGATGACNAACAGTACACACCAAGCATTGTTATATGGAGGTCAGCAGAACCTTAGGGAAAGCCAAGTGACCAAACCTCTCCCGATCTCTGAAAGGCCCTAATAGAATATATAATCTATTGATATATAGTGTTTTTTTTTTATTTTTAAATATTTTATATGATTATACGGGATCTTCTACATTATCCGGGATTCCGGATAATCAATAAGCGACAAGTTTGTCATGGCATTATTCAGTAAATGTACTAAAAATAATTATGTTCCCGATTACTAGATGGCAGCATTTTCTCATAAAATATATTTAAAAAAATATATAATTTATTCAAATATTATTTCCAAGTAATATTTAAAAATGCGATTTTAACGGTTTTAATTTCATTTAAATAATTTTTGAACAGAGATTTAAATTTATTTAAAACTTGAACGCGATTAAAGCATGCGAGAATAACGTAATAATTTGAATTAACAAGTTATTTCTTTTTCATTTCCAGCACTTAACGCGAATTTAGAAAAATTCTTCAACTTTAATGAGCGACACGCAGCACAGCAAAACACAAAGAAGCGAAGGGTGAGTCGAAATTATTTTCCCTTTATTAATATAATTTTATCTTCGTTACTTCGCATTAAATGTATTAAGAAACAAGAAAATAATCTTGCCAATGGGTCGTAATACGAATTGACATTATGTCACGTGAGGTCGTGTCGAAATTTTCGGTACTAAAAATTTGCTAAATCATTCGTTGGTCCCCCTCACCGGAGCGATTTAAATCATAATTCTCTTCCGTTTATGCAATATTCTTCTTGTTTTTTAAACCAATATCTTCGTATGTGGACCCAAAATTTTGGATATTTACGTAATTCATTCTCCTGCGTGCCATGGGTGTAAATTCTGTAAGTGTATACATATTCATATAATATACTTTTTAGTTTTCCTAGTGATAGTCTACAAGTATTATATATAAACATTTTTTTCTGTTACTTTTTAATGTATTTTAATTAATAATTAATTATATTTGTTTACTATAAGCACACGAATCGGCGTAAATCATATTCTAAATTAAATACTCGAATCCAAAAAAAGAACCGAAGTCGATGGCCATCCCGACAACATTGAAACAATTAAAGAATTCTTCCCGCAGATGGCACTGTACTACTATTGAAAGTAAGCCAACGGGGTCCAGAACGTGCTATGCACGTGATTTTTCAAATTTTAAAATAAATCTATTATTAAAAAAAAACAAAAAAACAAAGTTTTCCAAACTAGCTTAAGCCATTACTGCTTCAATGAACGTCATGTTTGCAGTATGAGATGCGAATCGGAGTATAATCCGCACATACCGTTCGATGGCTTTTTTTTTTACCATACTTATTAATTTCGTGCATTCTGATATTTCGTTTTCTAATTTTTCTCGCATTTTTTGGATGGTAACAGTCACCGTTGCTTCAAAAATAAAAATTTCCCCGTCAGGCTTTGAGTTTGGTCGAACCAATGGTGCACTAATTCGAACCTTACTGGTTCACAATGCGTTACTCCGTAACCAGGTAGGTCTGCACATCACTTGCTTGACGTCTGTAAACCGTTTTAAGTGTCCTTTAACTCGTCTGTTGCAATACATCACGCCTATTGCTATAGGTGAGTTATCTTAGTTATACCCTCTATTTATAACAGTAAAGTGACCAGTAATTTTAAACGGCCTCGACACACAGTACGAAAGTTAAAAAACAAAACAAAAAAAAGCTTTAAATTTTTTGGCTATGTCAGCCAAAATGAGACCGTGGCCAAAATTCCCACGAAATCGCGCGCTTACTTTACAACTTTTTAACTTTGACCCATTTGCGATTAATTCGGTGCCGTCGTTAGTTTTGACTATCAGCAATAAAAATTTCCCTAGTTTACTCCAGTTTTATGGCAGAATTTCTAACTCCTCTTCCATAAATCTTAGTTTTTTGGCTCCGCTCCAAAATAAATATATACAATACCAAGTATAAATGCGGTTAGATTCGATTCATGATTTATATTGCAGAAATTATCTCCTATCTGTATCATTCTCCTTCTGACAAGTCAAGTTCAAGTAGATAATGATGTTTATTCTTAACGCTGATTTTTCTTTCTTTTTTTTTTCTTTTTTCTTTCGAAATACAGCTTTATCACAGTTAGAAACCTCGCTTAAATAGAATGATGAATATTAATCGACGGAACTTACCTCCCCACCGATTATAAATCAATTTATTTAATCATTCGTTAATTGTCGTGGAGTGAAATTAAAGAATCGCATTGTTTTTCTATTACAGTAAAAACCTGTGTAAATCGGAATCCGCACGGTTTTCCCAGTTTGGCAAATTTCCGTTTCGAACGGGTTTCTTTTTAATCGATTCATACCGAAGAATTTTTTCTACTTAGGCAGGTTTCCGTTTTATTGAGGTTCCGTTTTGGACAGGTTGTACTGTATAGAAGCTGCTTTTTTGTGCGCTTTGAGAAAGATGATGAATATTTTTGGTTAAAAGGTAGGCCTACTAGAAATATTTAGATTTTCATGCCCTTTAGCTGATGAGTGCACAAGACGATGAATAATTCCGAATTTAAGTTACCAACAGAATGAGTTAGCATTAATGTAAAATTCACGAAATAAGAAATATTTTAATCTTTCACGCAATCTCGTAAAGTAAAAATAGAAATAATAATAATAATTATTATTATTAGCGATAACGTGGGATGAAGATGACACTCGGGAATAATAATAATAATAATAATTATTATTATTATTTCTATTTTTACTTTACGAGATTGCGTGAAAGATTAAAATATTTCTTATTTCGTGAATTTTACATTAATGCTAACTCATTCTGTTGGTAACTTAAATTCGGAATTATTCATCGTCTTGTGCACTCATCAGCTAAAGGGCATGAAAATCTAAATATTTCTAGTAGGCCTACCTTATAACCAAAAATATTCATCATCTTTCTCAAAGCGCACAAAAAAGCAGCTTCTATACAGTACAACCTGTCCAAAACGGAACCTCAATAAAACGGAAACCTGCCTAAGTAGAAAAAATTCTTCGGTATGAATCGATTAAAAAGAAACCCGTTCGAAACGGAAATTTGCCAAACTGGGAAAACCGTGCGGATTCCGATTTACACAGGTTTTTACTGTAATAGAAAAACAATGCGATTCTTTAATTTCACTCCACGACAATTAACGAATGATTAAATAAATTGATTTATAATCGGTGGGGAGGTAAGTTCCGTCGATTAATATTCATCATTCTATTTAAGCGAGGTTTCTAACTGTGATAAAGCTGTATTTCGAAAGAAAAAAGAAAAAAAAAAGAAAGAAAAATCAGCGTTAAGAATAAACATCATTATCTACTTGAACTTGACTTGTCAGAAGGAGAATGATACAGATAGGAGATAATTTCTGCAATATAAATCATGAATCGAATCTAACCGCATTTATACTTGGTATTGTATATATTTATTTTGGAGCGGAGCCAAAAAACTAAGATTTATGGAAGAGGAGTTAGAAATTCTGCCATAAAACTGGAGTAAACTAGGGAAATTTTTATTGCTGATAGTCAAAACTAACGACGGCACCGAATTAATCGCAAATGGGTCAAAGTTAAAAAGTTGTAAAGTAAGCGCGCGATTTCGTNTATTATTATTATAATCCCGAGTGTCATCTTCATCCTACGTTATCGCTTCCATAAATACTCGCATCCAACTCTGAACAGAAACTTAAATCGATGTCAAAAAATAACGTAAAGTATTTTTTTAATAGGCTAAAAACAGAAATTTCTATTTATAACTACAAAAAAATTATCGATTTAAAACTGAAAGCAAGCAATGACTCATCCAATAATAATCTTCGTTTCAGTTTCAAACTAGCGAATAAAACGTTTCGTCACTTTCCCAGTACCGAACAATACCTTTCTATTTTTAAATACTTTACTAGTCAATAATATTTATATCCGTATCAGCTTCCTATTTATTATATTTGTTATCGAATGAATGAAAGTTTAGGCTGTTCTACTGATAATTGCATATATTTTTATTAATAAGTTAAAATTCTTTGTGCTCCTCCTCCCTAAATCGCTCTTTCTTGTCCTCTCGTGAAAGTTTTGCATCGAAAAAAGTAAATAATATTGACACTATTTTATAGGACGTATGTAAAGATAAACTTTATTATTACGAAAGCAGTTTAGATAAGTATAAACAGTTCGCAACTCGTCGTTGTATTAAATACACTAGCGTTAGTCAATAAAAATTACAATTATTCATTTAATATTCTCATTAGCGTAACTGGGGATGGATCAAAACCCCCTTACCTTTGTAAATAAATAAGTACAGGAACAAGATTTGAACGAGGCAAATTTACTTGAACACGTGTCTAACACTTATGTTAACGCAAGTTTACACTTCATCTAGTGTTACTGGGGTGAAGTTAGGTTCTAATCCGGGCTCTCTTAATATCGTTACTAAATATTTTTCTAATGATCTTTTCCTACTTACAGCCAAAATTTCTGTGATAAATTTCTCACACCAAACTATTGCCTTTTTTTAATTAATCGAACGCAGGCTTAACTAATTGTTTAGCTTTCTGTTGATCATAATAGTCCATCTTTTTAAATAAGTTATTTATTGTGAGAACTTTAATTTTCTTAATTAGCCTTCGCATAATTGATGATTTTCTATTGAGTGTGACGTTTTAGGAAACTAATAAACTAAGTATTGTTTCTTACCTGACTTTCCTACTTATAACACTACGCCAACTTACCTCTTTACTGAAATTCCTTTAAGGTTTGCAATTAGAACCTTATGTTACTCAATAAATTTATTATTTTTTTTCTATTAAACAAAAGTTTGTTTTAAACACAGAATGAATCCGACATACCGTCTAGTCTATAAATTTCCAAAATACATTTTGAGTTTATCTGAATTGTTAAGTAACCAACCAAATACAAGCGAACATCTGTTTAATGCTACTCCTTGTTTGCCTACGAAGTTGG